GGGCAAAGACCATTTTCAAAATGGGGAAGCAGTCCCTGTGTCCCCAGTCCTTTCCACACAGCTCTGGGTGCCCCAAAGTTAGCTCAGCTGTTTTCTCTCTATCCATGCAGCTCCAGGTACCCCAAAGGCTGTTTCCTTGCTTCTGATTCTTCCCTTATCCTACTTTTCTCTCTCTTTCCTAGGCCCTCCCAAATGTCACCTGCAATCCCAACTTTAATGAAGTACCAACAAAGCTATTGAAGTTGCTGTTGATGCTGAAGGTCTGGGACCTATTAGGGACTTTATTAACCCTTCATTCCCTGGGTACAGTTTAGTCAGGGAAACTGAGGCACACAACATTATTACATATGAGCACATTTGAAACAGAAATACTACACTAAAACCCATAACCTGCCACAACAACTACAGTTATTTCTGTTTGTATGATCTGTCTTGCTTGTGTAACCTTACTGATTGCCTGTGGTAAATGTGATCTCAAAGCAATTGGTACCTCTGTAAACCCTAAACTGAGACAAGTAGAACTAAGGTTTCCTGGACTAGCCCAGAGGAAAATATTAATTTGTTCTCAGTAGACAAGCAGTAGAAAAGTGGAGAGAGGTGTCGAGCTGAAAGACACCCTAAAAATAAAACACATTGTCACAGCTGGAGACAGCAGTTTATGGGAACTAAAAACAGCATCAGAGATATGGAGCACTTGAACACACAAAAACAAAACCAGAATCCACTATAAGGTCTGTAGGTCTACCTAACGTTTCAGACATAGACTAAAGTGAAATGTAAACCAGTCAGGAAAGAGCAAGGTTATGTACAGAAGTTGCTTTTTTGCCATTTAAAGTGCTTTATTGCCATGACTTAACAAAAGTGCATGGCTTTACGGCACTTCAAAAATGGGTACAGTACTTTAAATTAACCCGTGTTAAATGAGGTATTAAATTTGAAGCACTGAATTTTACAGCACTTAAACAACCTACAGCGCTTTAAATAACTTCTGTACACTGGTCAAATTTCTGGCGATTCTGGCAGTATCCCATGGGTTTTGCGAGCTTGGTTAGTGCTCCCCGGCACCACCAAAGGCAGCTGGGAGCACTAGCCAAGCCTGCAAAAGCCGGCAACCCACCCTGTTCCCACCAGCCAGCTGAGACTGCGGTGATTGGGCTAGATGGGACTGGGGGGGGGGAAAACTTGGCCCCCAGGAGCACAGCTCACTCTGCAGCCGGAAGGGCTGGGTCGGTGCCTGGGGGGCTTGCAGCTGGAGCAGGCTCTGGGTTGCACAGCGCTGGGGGAAGAGGGGGTGGGTTCAGCTCTGTGCAGCCCAAGCGGGAGAAGAGTAGTGGCACTGGCTCCATGCTGTCCTGCCCGGCTGGGGACCCACTCCTGGCATGCTACAGTTGGGAAGGACCTCTGTGATCCTGGGTGAGTCAGGGAAGTGTGGGGGCTTGGCATAGTTTGGTGGGGAGGGGGACACACATTCGTTAAACACCCACAGACCACAGAGCCCCAGAGCAACCACAGCAGGGAGCCTGGCACAGCGCTCGGCGCCTGGGCACTACCTGCAGTGGGGGGGGGATCCAGGGCTGAAATGGCACCTCTTGCCCCCCAACCCCCTACTCCACTTCTATCAGCCCTCCTTTCCCTCTTTGTGCCCCTACAGTTCCCCTACTCTGTGCCCAGCTTCACCTTCTCCATTGGTCTGCTGTTGTCCACGGTCTCTTGCAGCCCCAGGAGGCTGCAGAGCACCCCCTGCCCCTAGCCTGGAACATGCAGAGAGGATCAGAGCTCCCCCCTCCCCCCCCAATAAACACTGCACTTCTGTCATGTTTAAGAGCACTGTAACTTTTTAGTGCTAAAAAAAGGTGTTCTGAATTACAGCTCTATAAAACATGCATGGAACACTTCTGTACACACCCCATAATCTGACAGGAGCTTGAACCCCTATGCTGCTAGAATAAAAATTCTTCAGCTATTTTCATCAAAATAACATGCATTTGCTATCTATTATTTTTACAACTTGCAATTTCATGGAGGGGCAGAACAAGCTTTAAATTCCAACATGAAAGAGACTTGAAACCAAATCTGATTCATAAATGTTTACAGGCATATATTACCTGCTTCCTAATCAAAGGTGAACGGAACTAAATGTTATACACATTGCTTTACAGAAGTAAAAGTTAGATCTAGGAAGCCTTTCTCCAGAACTTTTGTTCATTAGGGTGACATTGAGAACTGCAATCTGATTTTTAGGGTTATACACTGTAAAACATTGTAGTGATGTAATCTTTTAGAAATAAAGAATCTTTCAGAAAAAATGTTTCGAAGAATAGTTGCTCAGTTAAAGTTGTTGGTCTAACATAATTTCTGAGATTTTGGAGAATCTGGTAAAATACCTCTTGAATCTAAGACATAAGAACATCCAGGTTCAATTAACACTTCTCTAAGTTATGATTGTAGCTCAGTAGTAAAGGAAGGGTTTTTGTATCTAGGCCCCTGTTGCAGGTACAGCTTCACTAGACTCAGTGGGTTCTATACTTGTGTCAACACATTTTGGGATCCTCCAAATAAAACATTTTCTCTTAATACCCATTTTTTAAAATCAGGAAAGCTAAGTACACAGTGCAGTTTGTCAGATCTTCTGACAGTGTGTGTGTGTGCATGTGTGTGTGTGTGTGTGTATGTACGTGCTTTCACTCACACACCAAATTAACTCAGATTTTCAAATGTTGAACTATAAAACGGCTAAAGGTTCTCTCTCCAGAGCCCTCTTAAAATATTAAAAAGCATGTTCTGAAAAGGATGTAAATTAGACTTCAAATGCCTCTTTATACACAATGATAAATCTTTAATATGTATTACTCTTCAAGGAGAAAGAGAGAAAAAAAAACCTACTACGTTAATAAGACTTATAAAGAGAATGACAGATTTTACCACAAATCATTTTTGGTCCCCAAATTAACAGGCATTGCCACTGAGCCAATTTCCCTTTCCTTGAATCAGTCTGTTCTTGCCTCTCTTCCACATCTGTGAACATCATTTTACTTGCCCCTTGTTCCCATATTGCTGAGCCAGCCACTGATGAGTGGAAGCGAATTAGAAGTAACAAGTAGTGTTTCCTGCAGCTGCTATTACTGACACTGCTGTGAAGAGGGGCTGAGAAGTGCCATGGGCAACTGCAAGTACATAGGCATGCTCTGCTTTGTGTAGGCTGTCTCATACAGAACTTTTGAGGAAGAGGCATAAAAGGCTCAGCATTTCACCAACCCCACATGGAAGTTAACCCTTGAAGGCAAAACAACAAGTTTTTAAAACAAATAGTTTGACAACAGCACATCCGGCCTGATCAAAAGTCTAATTTAGTCTATCAAAATCTTTTCAGTTCAGTGAGCCTTGAATCATCTCCTAGAGCATAAAGCCACCCAGATTAATTTAAATATTACATGAATGTAATATTAAAATATTAAATGGTTAAACAGTATTGAAATAATATTTAAAATAGTAAATGTAATATTTAAACATTAATTACTTATAAAAATGAATAAATATTAAATGGGATGTAAAATATTTTGCATCACAAAGTTTAAACATGCAGAAAGTGATGTTTCTTTGCCTCTCCTTCTTTTCCATTTTGAACACTCGTGCCTGTGGTTAACTTGTGTGGACTGGCAGACCGGATGGACCGTTCTCTGCAAGGCTTGCTGCTAGCAAACATGCACAATTAAGACAAATCCCACATATTCCTTGTTCTTCTTTCAACTCCCAATTTTTAATTCAGTACTTATCTAGAAGACATCCAAAAATCAAGACCTAACATTTGAGCAAAAGAATGTATTTCACATTCACTGTTAATTGAGGACCAAACTCTACAGTACTTCCTCCCTGGAGCTAGCACCTTACTGCTAAATCAGAGAATCACAGAATAGTAGGGTTGGAAGAGACTTCAGGAGGTCATCTGGTCCAATCCCCTGCTCAAAGCAGGACCATCCCAGCCAAGACTTAGTCTATCTGAGTCTTAACAACCTTTAAAAACTAGTCCTGTTTTTTACAGTGCAGCCCTGAATGCTGAGAGTATTACAAAACAACTGCGAACTCTCCCTCTGCCTGAAAAAGTGTTTGTACCCAATAGCTTGCAAATAAGTTTTTCTAGCTATTTAGCTAGTGTAATAAAAGATATCAGATTTACCCAAAGAACCTTGTCTGCCTATGTCCTTAGACCAACACAGCTACAACCAACACCCCCTAGAGTACTACTTAGTGCAAATTAGTGACAATAACCCTTGGTCCTGAGATACCGTGCCCCCACAACACAAACATTGTGCAGCCCATCTTTCTCCCAGCTAGTGGCCTGTAGGCAGCAAATATCTAAACTGCCATAACAAGCACTTTCCTCAGGCCCCATTAGGGCCAACCTAATTCTAAGCACTGAATCAAGAGCCCCTTCTCAGTTTCCTTCCTGAACGAAACAGTGAATCAGGAGTACCCAGCTTCATCATCGAACAGGAAGCTGCAAAATAGCAGTCACAGACAACATTAATAGTAATAATAACAGCAGTGTTTGGCAGACACCTGAACCTTCATATTGCTACACACACAAAAATTAACTCAGTAAATAAAAATAATTTGGAAATAGGAGCCTAACAGCAAATCCATAAGAGCCTCTACTACTATTACAGACTGCTAGACTGTGCACTACCCCCACAAAAACAAATCTTAACTCTGATGCTGCAGGCACTAGCCAGCCACATGGCATTAGGGGTCATACCTAGGAGGCCCACAGAGCCCTCTCAGGCAGTCCTCGCTCCTAGGAATCCTGCCCTGCCATTGGCTTCATGGAAACTTCAAGCCCCACCCCTCAAAGGGAGCTTGCTATAAATACTGCAAGCCTCACTACTTCCTCTGGCAGTAGTGGAAATGGTTCTGGTGGGGGTGACTGGCCCCATGTGCTGGGGTTGGCATGCTGTGAGGCATTGGGGTCCATAGCCTCCTAGCAGTCACTGGGGTATGTGTGTTAGGGGGAGGGAGGGTTGTGAATGCTGTTCTCTGCTGGTTACTGCAGGGACCTTTTGTGCCCTTTTGACAGTACCTCAGGTGGCAGCTGCCAGCACAAGTACGAGGCAGCAGGGAGCAAGCTGCTCCTGAGTGTCCCACCTGGTATGGGTGAGGAGGGGATGGGGGGAGGGCAGGTCTTCAGTGGGAAGAACTGAGCATAGCTTGACTGGATGGGGAGGGGGCAAGATAGGGTGATAAGGAGAGGAGGTATTGGGGGTGGTCTCTGCTTCTTAAACTCCTTAAACATGAGTGAATCAGTCCCTCCCACAGCAGTGCCCTGATCTGGATCCTTTAGCACCTATGAAGTGTCTGTCTGAGGACAGGGCTAGGGGCTGAGCTGGAGTGATTCCTTCTAGTAAGAGAAGCCACTTGCTACAGCTGCTGACAGGGCCGGGAAGCTTTGCAGCCTCTACACAAGCCAACTGCAGGTGGCCCTTGTAAGCTGGTGATCACCTAGCATTTCTCACTGCTTGTGAAGTAGGCCTTTAAGTCAAACAGTTGCAAGGAGACCCACAGGTTTGTTTCCATTATACTAAGTAATACCTCTGTCTGGAAGCTAAAATAGATTTGACTTTTTCAGTATTGTGTATGTTATGGCATTGTGCACAAGACTTAAAGGATGAAATGAAATATAAACTGACTTTTTTGTTATTGTTTTATTGGGGGGGATTCATAGCACTTTTTAAAAATGTGTGTGTAAGCTAGCTTTTGGTGGGAGAGAAATGCTATTTTAGCATGAAATGATGCATGCAACAAGGCTCAGGAAATACAAGCTGTTCTTCAGAATTGTTCAATCTCTGAAGCTCTTGGTATAGCGAGGAAACTTCAGGCTGCCAGATTCAAGGCGTTATGTTAAAATGTGATGTTTGTCTTTTCACTTTTTAAACCCATGCTGGTCCTTGGAGTTGTTCTTGTTACATGTTACCAGTCTTACAAATAAGTGTTCCTGTCTAGAAAAGAGGGTGGAGATGTGTCCGTTTAGAAGTTCAGTAGAACACGAAAGGCATGTGGCTTCATATTGTTTGCATATTGTTCTCATCCCTTAGTAGGAGTGTTTTCTAGGAGCATATCAAGTGATACTTCTAAGAACTGTCACATCTTTCTTTTTTTCCTTTTGGTGCATCTCTTGCCAATGAGCTTTGTTCCTGTTAGGGTATCTGGCACTTGCTATAGCTGATTATTGGATAAGAAACTGAAGTGAAAAGCTGGCAAGACCTATACTATAACTGACCTTCAAATAGTGAAATCAATAGTCTTCTATATTGTAGTCTTCAATATTTTATATTCTTTTACTACATATCTTGCTAAATCTCTCCTGTTCTCAAATCTACCTGTTTAAGAGTTGCTGATACTAACCAGTGTTTAAATAAAAGAGGTACAGCTCTATCTTTTTCAATTCCATTTTGGGTCTTTAGTTTTTAAAGAGAACTAATTTGGGGTCCTAAATGACTTGCAATTCCAGGCATGTTTAGTGTCACACAGCAGTGGCTTCATGCTGCATATAGTCTCTCTTTCTACACAGTAGAAACTTCTTTTTCTTTCCACTTTCAAGACCCAGCAGAAGCCAATCAACAGAATTAAAGCAACTTTTAACTAGAGTTAAATACTGAGTGGGCTGGCAGAAGAGAACAGTCTTCCCACCAAGTCAAACTTCTCCCTCACAACTCTAATCGAATACCAGTCTTAGCACGGTGTTCATACGATCAATTTAATGATTACTAAGTGCAGTGAAAACTCAAGCAGTCAAAATTTAAAGCAGTCTGGTACCTGTTAAGTGCCCTCTTAGTGTTGCAAAATTGTTCCCCTTCAGTCAAGGATTATCTCCTTAACATGTCCTCACTTTTAATAGGTCACTGCATCCCAATGACTTGCAGATGTTGTGAGTGAACGTATAACATCCCCCTAACCCACAGTGACTTTAATACATTGCAGTATTGCAATGATTTATGACTTTTGTGAAACTGGTTATTGATCTCTGTCAGATCTAAAAATACTACCCACCCAGCAGCAACCACAAAACCTGCACTGATTGTTATTTCTGTGACTCAAATCCCATATCTTGGGCTGCTGAATAATCTTGAGTGTTTTGTGGCAAAACAGTATTTTGTGATGGCTTTTATTTCACTCTTGAGTAAAATAAATTGATCACTCTTGGGTATGGATTGTAGCGTCACTCCTTAGGAGAGGATGAACAGCTGATTCCTTCCCCCCCCCCCCCCCCCCCCAGCTCCCTTATCTAAATGCACTCTTATTTGGGGTTAACATTTATATTCCTTGTGCATTTATTTTATTTTTTTAAAGGAATAATACACAAATCCCAGTCATAAAGGGACTAAACTAGCTGTTTAGTTCCAAGTTCAATTTTAAAACTAGTTTTTTACATCTGATACATTAAAGTGTGGAACATTCCTTTTCTGAGGGAGGCCTAGAAGTTTTCAATTGTCAATCTAGCTTTAATTTTTCCTACATTACTGTTTTCTGAGGAAAATGCCCCCAATTTATATTGAAACCTTAATATCAGAGACTGTATTCTGAGAGTCAGTTAATTTGGAGAGAGAACTTTCTTTTCAACTTGGTAACCCTCATGATTAGTATAGAGTTCCAGGGAAATGTTAAGGTGACTTTCCTCCCCACTTCCCTCCCCTCACATGCATTATGAAACATTATACTGATGTCAGTGTAATGACTGCAGCACATTAAGTGTTTTGCAGTTTCAAAGTTGTATTTTTTTTTTTTTTTCTCTGCTTAAGTGCAGTACAACTTTTCATAGTAGGTAGGGTCAGAAGGGACCTGAGCAGATCATCAAGTCTGACCCCCTGCCATGGCAGGAAACAGCACTGGGGTCAAATGACCCCAGCAAGGTGTTCATCCAGCCTCCTCTTAGACTCCCAGGGTAGGAGTCAGCACCACTTCTCTTGGAAGTTGGTTTCAGATCCTAGCCACCCTGACAGTGAAGTTGCGCCTCCTGATATTTAGCCTGAATGTACCCTCTGCCAGCTTGTGTCCATTATTTCTAGTCACTCCTGGGAGTGCTTGGGGGAACAGGGACTCCCCCAATGCCTGCTAGTCCCCTCTGACTAGTTTGTAGACTGCCACTAGATTTTCCCCCCTCAGCCTTTTCTTGTGGAGGCTGAACAGGTTCAGGTCCCATAGCTTCTCCTCGTAGGGCCTGCCCTGCTGCCCCCTGATCATGCGGGTGGCCCTCCTCTGGACCCCCTCCATGTTGTCCACATCCCTTCTGAAGTGCGGCACCCAGAACTGGATGCAGTACTCTAACTGCGGCCTGACCAATGTTGCATAGAGGGGGAGGATCACCTCCTTGGACCTGCTCAAGATGCATCTGTGGATGCATGACAAGGTACGGTTGGCTTCTTGACCGCATCCCCACACTGTTGGCCCATGTTCATATTGGCCTCAATAATGACACCAAGATCCTTTTCTGCCTCTGCACTGATGAGAAGGGAGTTCCCCAGCGTGTAGGTATGCTGCTGGTTCTTCTTCCCCAGGTGCAGTACCTTGCACTTTTCAGTGTTGAAACTCATCCTGTTCTCATCTGCCCACCCCTGTAACCTGTCCAGATCCAATTGCAGCCTATTCCTTCCTTCTAATATGCCCACTTCATGCCACCTTTTAGTGTCATCTGCAAATTTAAACAGGGTGCATTTTACCCCTTTGTCCAAGTCGCTGATAAAGATGTTGAACAGTGCAGGCCCGAGGACCGAGTCCTGGGGAACCCCATTGCCCACATCCCTCCAGGTCAAATAAGATCCGTCCACCACCATTCTCTGGATGCAGCCCTCCAGTCAATTAGTAACCCATCTGACTGTGTAGGCATCAACACCACAGTCTCCTAGCTTTTTAATGAGAATGGGGTAAAAGACCGCGTTGAAGACTTTCCTAAAGTCCAGAAAGGCTATATCCACTGTGACACCTGCATCCAGGGATTTGGTGACCTGGTCATAGAAGGCCACCAGGTTGGTCTGGCAGGACCTGCCTCTAATGAACCCATTTGGTTGCCCCTAAGCATAGTCTCCCATGCTGGCCCCTCAGGGACATGTACCAGGAATATTTTCTCAAAAAGCTTCCCCAGGACCAAGGTAAGACTTATAGGCCTATAGTTTTCTGGGTCTTCCTTCCTCCCTTTTTTGAAAATGGGAACAACACTGGCCCTTTTCCAGTCCTCCAGCACATCACAAGAGTACTGTGAATGCTCGTAAAGCTGTGCCAGAGGTCCCACAATAACCTCTGCTAGTTCTCTCAGCACTCTGGGGTAGAGGTTGTCAAGACCTGCTGATTTTAAATATGTCCAGTCCCTCCAGAAGTTCCCTGACTAGGTCCTTGCTGACCCTAGGTCTGGGTGTGCCTCCTACGGGGGTCCCAGTGGTGGGGATGACCAGGTCCCTACTCAGAAAAATGGAAGCAAAGAAATTGTTAAATAGGTTAGCTTTGCTGTCTGGTGCAATAACCAGATTTCCTAGCGTGTCCTGTAGAGGCCCCATGTTACCTGGTACCTTCTTTTTACCCCCCTTTGCCCTCTTCTTTTTTCCTTTTCAAAAGGTAAGGATCAGTATATCAAACTATCTGTGTAAACTATGTTAATTACATACTAGTCATGCTTTCAGAACTATCTGGAAGTTATTTTACTGATGACAATATGACTATTTAAATATTATTTTATGACATGCCATTGTCAAAATAAAGATTGAGTAAATGGTTAGATAAAATTGGTTGCCAAGCCCACGGAAAACCTGAGTTTGTAGAGTCTTATCATAGGTCATGTCATTCATGAGCTAGAAGGTATTTTTCAGGTGAACTTCTTGTAGTTTACAATTTAATACTCATGTGAGTGAGATCAGTGAGTGATACAAACTTTTTTTTTTTTTTTTTTCCACCAGCAGGGCTGGGTGAAAATATGCAAGGACTGGAAAGAACTAAAAAAAAGAAAGAGTCAGTGAAGACAGAACTTAAAGACGAACAGAAGAGATTCTTACAACATAACTTAAAAGATGAAATGTCTAAAAACAATTTGTTTTTGATTCCAAAAGATCTTAAGGGAAACGATTTTTCCTCTGACCAAGATGATCAATGTAACCCTCCTCAAGTACTTAAACAGCCTGCTGTTTCATCATCTAAACATTCTAATAATGCCTATCCTTTTGCATCCAGTAAATATGTTCTTGACCATAGTTGTCCAGCAACTGACCTTGAATATGATCCATTGCTAAATTATTCTGCAGGCTTACTTAGCTCTTCTTTAGCAAAAGAGGATGAAAATGACAAACAGCAATTTCAGCAAGTGAAAGCATCTCCTTGTGACAATCAACAGATGTTTTTGGAGACTGTATTTGAAAACAAACCTGGTTCTCCAAAGAAGAGAGCAAGGAGCTCTTCACCTATAAAACTTGAAATAAACCTTCAAGAATCTGATGATGATGATGTTCTTGTAATTGATGTTCCTCCATTGACTCTCACTAAGAAGCCAAAAATAAGTAGGAGCTATAAAAAATTGGAATGGGAAGAAAAATGTGCTTTTGTAACCCTTGCAGATAATCTGCAGAACAGAGACAGAGCAGAAGAATGCAAGTATGCAGAAGAAAAAAGAACATTGGGCAGTGGAGGTCTACAGAAAGATAACGAGGGTTTAGGCCACACTGAAGAAACACTGAAAATGTCATCAAAAACTCAAAGCACAAACTTTCTGGATGTGAAAATCGATGTTTTAAAGGTTTCTAATAACCTCCAGGAACACAGAAACACTCTTACTAATTCTACTGAAAATAACATGCCTTCACTTTATCATACTGTGGTAGGAATGCAGAAAGAGACATTGAATACAGGTAACACACAGACTGAAATATCCGTGAAAACATCTAATGTTAAAGAACATACTAATTACAACTTCCCAAGCACCCGAAGTATGGTGCAGAGAAGATGGTGTTCTGAAGATATTTTAAAAGATAAATCTGCAGTAAACCAGGGTATTCCTAAGAAATTATCAGAAAATACAAATGAAGCTCTGCGTAGCTGGGAAAATGGGAGACATAAACTGCTGGACAACATATCTAGCCATCCATCTGATAAATTACATTTGTTCAAAGAAACTGGTCCTGATACAGGTGTCTTAATTAAAAACTTTAAGGAAGGAAGTGATAGTTGTAGGATTCAAGCTAACATCAAAGAAAGTGAAATAATTGTATTAGATTCTTCTTCTGAAGAGATGGATTATAGTGAAGAGGATTCATCAGTCTCTGAATCAGATGATCCCACAGAAGAATGCCGGAGAATTTTCAATGAGTTTGTTGAAAGTGAAGCACTGAAGGAGAAGATGGCTAACCAGGTGCTTTCCTTTGCTTCCACACTTTGTGGTGCTAGTGAGTGGGAAAAGAGGGAGAAGAATCATCTATATATTCCATGTTATGTCAAATCATGTAATTTGATCTAGTGTCCAACTGTATATTTCTCAGACCTTAATTTAGCGTTCCGTGCTCAGAATTGATGAACACATTCAAATGCTCAAAGGTGCATGGAGATGCTGATACATGAGATGCTGTGGGCTCTCACAGCTACTCTAATTAAAGCACCGCACCCCTCTTCCCCCACACCCCCAACCTCCCAGAGCACATGTAAAAATGCCTTTAGTACCCAATGCTGTTTGCAATCTCAGAAACACTTATTTCTGTGTACCCGATGTTGTTCTAACAGCAGCTACATTACTAGGTGTTTTGGCATGTAGCCTGAATGGAAGGGACAGAGTCGGGGCATCTTTTCATGGCAACACTTGTGTACTGTTAGGATATGTCTACATCTCCTATAAATCATGGGGAGCTGTGTCTATTAGCAAACCTGAAGAAAAATTCTAAATGACTCCTTTGGGCACTGGAGCTGAAATTTGATATATGGCGACCTTACATTGTGACTATGCTATTGTGTATTTTTTTTTTTTTTTTTAAATGACTTTTTCTCAAACTTGGCAATTAGCTGAGTATGAATTAAATTGAAGTTTTTTATGTTCATGGTATTTCATATCTAGAAATGTCTTAAGCCTTGAAAATGTTCTACTTTTTCTTGAACATAAGCATAAACATGAATTTCTCACCATGGATCTATGATACAGGAATGCATATATTTCTGCCTAGGGTACCTTTAGACTTTTTTGTATGTCCAGATTTTTTTTTTTTCTATTTGTTGCAACTATGAGTAGGAAATTGAGCAAGCTATCAGAGTTTAGGGACTTCATATGGGTTTGTACACTCTTCCTGTAATTAAAAAAAAAAAAAAAAAAAGTTTTCCTTATTCCTATTTTTAATAGGCCCATGGAATAAATACTGAAGCTGAGGCATTGGATTCCAAGACAAATACAGGTTTTGGGCAGAAGAAAAGAATTGCTCATACTGCAAAGTTTGATGTGAGTTGATCTGGTAACTTTTAAGAGCATTTGCGCTTTGCTCATATTAAGTGTGTATGTGCTAGTTTATCTTCTTCGTTGTAGGTTAATACCTTTTAGGGTGCAAGGTGAGATATAAATTAAACTAATAGATTCATTCAGTTTTTCTAAATTCTGTTCTCATTTGTGCCGGAAAGGTTCTATGATGGACAGCTGTACTATTCAGATACTTTTCAGTAATGAAACTCTCACCATAACAAAGTAGGACTCAAAGCTTTGCTCCATTTCAATAAAGCAAGAGTCCATAGTGAGCTAGTAGAGTTTCTTAAAATGAATCACTTTTTTACCTTTTTCAGTACAGCTGTTTCTAAAATACTGCATACACGCCCTCTTCCCCTCCCCCCTCCATTATTGAGCTAAAAATTAAGTCAATTGCAAAATGGTAAGCAAATGAGTGTGGTCCCAGTGAATGTGATTTGTCTAAGTATAAGCCTGAGATCAGTTATGTTAACTAGCAATTCAAAGCGCAGAACAGTCATCCTTTATCTGAAGTGCTGGGAGCCCTGATTTTATAAATTAAATTATTCTTCAAGCGAAAATGTCTATCACGATAGCTTTAACAGATATTACCTTTTTATATACCCTTGACAAACATGCAGTACCTGAACATTTATGGAAGAAATGCATTTGGTTCTAAGCTGTTCTTTAATTTACATTTTATGCAATATGCAAAATAGGATTATTTTGTACATGGCTTTTGTATATTTTTTTTTTTTTTTTAGATGTCTAGTGTTAAATGTCTGTCTTATAACATTTATGTGGACATGGAAAACTTCACAAAATAAGCGGTTTCAGAGTAGGAACTCAATCTTTATGGCTAGGGACAGAAATTACATATAAACCAGTATAAGTAATTAGAAACCAGTTCAAATCTAACAACAGAAGTTCAGTGCAGATAAACCACTTTCAAAATGGCAGAAACTGGTTTAAGATGAACCTGGATGGATGTACTATCAGACTTAACTGCTTTAGGTTAAAATGATATTTATTGAACTTCTGTCCCAGATCCCTTCCAGATTCAAGTTAACTCATAGCTGCCCAGCATCCCAGGATGCTTTGCATCTCTCCCACATGCCCCACCTCACAGGATGGGTGGGCTAGTGTTGGCCCAAGCTCCAGTGAAGCAGGGAGATATGCTGTAGTGACCTCTGGTCTGGGCCACTGCAGGCATGTGGCTATATTTCCAGAATAAAAAGTTAGTGTCTGTTCACTTGGTTATCAACTCAGTCTATGCAGTTTAGACTAACCTGTGAAGATTGAATTGGTTCAGCCTTGGGCTTTTTGACTGTCTGTACATACTGAGCCTAGAAATCTTCTGTTGTCATCCTAACTACATAAAGTGTTGTGGGAGGAGAGGATGAGGATAAGGATGAAAATAATAAGAATGTACAGTTGCTTGAGTGGAGGGGGCGGGGAAACGCACTTAAAAGAAAAAAAGAAGTCTGTAGGGTCTGAAACTCGGTTAATATGGATTAATGTATCTCCACTCAGATCAATGTGGCTATGTCACTTTATGCCCGTTGAAGATATGGTCTTGTGGGGTTTTTTAATCCTTTTTGAGCAGGAATATGATTATGGGAGCATGGCATTTGTTTACATCTTGTAAATATGTGGCATACTAGTTATCCTTGTAACTTGAAACTCTGTTTGACAGATAGAATATACAGATCAATTATTTAACTTCTAATGTTTTCATGTCTACCAGGTACAAACTAGCAAAGAAATAATTGTGCCTTTTAAAGCACCTCCTCCACAGCAGGCCAATGCCAGAATCCTGCAGGTACAGCACCAGGCAGCGCAGATGATAGCTGCTGTTAAGAGTGGCCAAGCTTTTGTTGCTGCAACTTCTGGGCAGAAGAAAAATGTGTCTGGATCATCAATGACTCAGAGTCAAAGTGTAGGATCAATGGGTATGAGAACTTGAGAAACTGAGATAAACCAGTTCTTTTTATTTTTAATACAATTTTCACTTGGATCAGCTTGAAATCTGTCTTATGAAAATTTTTCTCCTAAATGAGCGTACTTTTGAATGTTAGATGCTCCAGTGAACTCTCTTGCTTCACTTCATTATTTAAAATATTACCCATAATCAAGATATTAAGTGTCAGGATAATGGCATTCTTACAAAGGTTCTTGCATTTGTCTTTAGCTGAAGCTTGTACTAAAATGCTTAGAAACTGTTTTTAGAAGAAGAAACAATCTAGACCAATTGCAAGTAATCACTTAAGTGGGCAGGACTTTAGAAAAGCCATGTAGTATGATACCTCCTTTTCTGCTGCTTCCCCCTCTGAATTTATTTTTCTTTTCCTTACAACTCTCTCTGTTGCAAGAAGACAGAAGACCAAAAACACCTTTTATCTTTTTTTTTTTTTTTTTTTTCATGCTGATGTTGGAACTAAAATAGTGCTATAATAGTTTTACAAGTCTAGTGACTTTGTTTAAAGATTAAAGTTCAATTAATCATGTAAATAAATGGTGTGGTTTTACAGTCCCCTTTTCTGTGCATGTGAGGGTTTTCCCCCTTTCATTCCACAACAGTTAAGTAGCTGCATTAACTACTCTGGCTTAAAAAACAAAACAAAAACACTCAAGAAACACTTTAGATAAGTAACTATGGGGGAGGGAGGGAACTACTATTTTCCTAGTTTGGGGTTTGTTTGTTTTTTACTCTGTATTTGAAGTAATGTTTAGTGAGTTTTCAGGTGTGGAGAAGAAGGGGGTGGGGGGGAAACCAAACTAGCCTCAGAACAGACTGAGCTACTTTTTCATGTTGTGTAACTATTTCCCTTTCTTTCCCCTTTGAAGTGGTACATTGCTTGTGCCAAGCATACATATTAAGTAGAGGTGTGCGAAGTGTTCAATTCTGATTCAGCCTGATTCAAGGGACAGTGATTCAACTTGTTGATTCGGATCACTGTCCCAATTTCAATTCGGCCGACTCCAAATCTGAAGATTCGATGCTGATTCAGAGAAACAGCGATTCAGCCATAGACGCACCTTCATCTAGTTTTTCTTTTCTACAGGCCTCAAGATACTAGGCGCAGCTCATGAACACTCTAGATGGTCGGGTGAATGGAGCATCCCACAAGAGGAAGGGGAGGGGGTGGCGGCAAATGCTTGGCAGCAGGACCTGGAAGTGGACCAGAAGAACTTCCAATCTGCTTCTGGGTCCACTGCCAAGCACATGGGGTGACCCCTCCTCCCATGTCCCCCAGCTCGGTGATTGGCTGGGGGGGGGACCCTGGGTGCCCCCCCACAGGCCCAGGAGGCACCAGTCACTGAGCCAGGGGGTGGGGAGAGGGGCCCCCGCATGCTCTGCAGCAGACCCAGAAGTGGACCAGAAGTACCTCTGGTCTACTTCCAAGTTCGCCACCAAGCACACTGGGGACCCCCTTTCCACTCCCATGGGATGCTTCATCTGCCCCACGATCTTGGCATTCATGAGCTACCTGGTACTTTGGTATGTAGAAAAAACATTAAGCTGTGTCTATGGCCGAATGTCGATTTGTAAAGATTCAAAAGCCTCTGATTCGATTTGGAGAGATTAATGGGTCTCCTGATTCACGTCAGACATTCGGCCGCCAAATGGGGCTGAATAGAAACAGCAACCAAAGCTTCGCACAGCCCTCGTATTAAGTATAATGGATATGTCCAGAGTGTAGTGTTTTGAATTAAAAGGCTTGTGTCTAGCAACTTGTTTCCTTAGTCTCTGAGGTTGCATTTTACTTGCTTCATATTACTAAAAAGAATTAGTGGTTGGAAAGTGCTTTGAGTGAAATTTGTGTAAAAGGTTTGTGAAGTTAAGATATAACTGAATGATTTTTTTTCTTTACTTTCCTACTTTTTTTCTTCTACTGGACTTTACGGTTTGAGCATGCACTTGCCTAAAAGCTTTAAAATAATCTTCAGATCCAGTTACTTAGTCACTTCTCTTAAACATTGATATTACTGTAATATCTACATATCTTCCATATAAAATTTAGTGAGCAAGTGTAAAGTCCTTCTTATGCTACCTAGACCCTGGCTATTCCTAAAGCTTGGCTAACCCACTTTGGTTAGCAAAGGAAAGGTGGGGGGGTTTTTTATGTGCATCTCCCTTCAATGGGAGTAGATTGAGCTAGTAACTTTTAACTCTTCACCATGATAAACAGTTTTTCTTTTTTTTTTGTTTTGTTTTTCCTTCTTATTTCAGTCTCTTTAAATATGCTTGAAGTTCAGCCTGTTGCAACCAGTCAACTGAATGTGGTTCTACAAGGAAATCCTGTAATGGGAATGCCATACAGATCTTCTACTCTCTCGGTAAAAAGGACTGCACCCATGCCTATGAAGGTACTGTAGCAGGACGAAAACAAGCATTTGTGCGCCCAAATTCTGTAATTGCCATGTAAAAGGCTGTTGCTTTAAATACTGCATAATTTGGCATCTAATAATAAATATTAATCCATGTTTTAAATAACCTCTTGTACTATGTATGCTACTTTGAAATTTGTTATAACAGTAAGTTAATATTATTTTGTCACATTTTTCAGCACTACAACTTTAAGCAGTATTTTGAAATATACTGATGAGAATTCTTATTGTCATAGCTAGGAAAAAAAATTGAGAAGGAAATTGTGAGCTAATATTTTTAATAGAACTTTAAAAATTTTTTTTAAATATATAGGAAACCTGTGGAGTCTTACACACAATAAAACCAAACTGTTTTGTTCTGTTCTAAGTAACAATCTTGAGAATATATCAAAATAACAAGTCCCTTTAAAAAAATCCAATTCAGTATCCCAGGTGGAATAAAAAATACATGGAAGATAAAGGCCAAAGAGGCAAATTACTGACTATAAATAATAGCAGTTAATATGAACTCCTGCTTTGGAGACCTGAACACACTATTGTTTTCTGATTTGGCTTTTTGATGCCTCCTACCTCTTTCCCATGCATCTCTGATCTAAAAGCTTCTATGTAATTTTGGACTAAGGTATTCATTTTTATAGGTTAAGTAAAAATGTTTCAACTGTAAGTTATTCAAACCCTTTTATGCAGCATGTTACCAAAAAATAATTTTAAAAAAATCTACTTTTTTTTTAAGGTTTCTACACGGAGGCGGCCTTCTGTAGTTCCAGAATCCGGATCCAAAGTATCACATGACACAAGGCAACGATATGTCAACTTCTTTGTTGAAGAATATATGAAAATTTGTAGAACAGTAAATGAAGCATTTGACAAGGTTTGTAACTGTTTCAGTTTTTTTTTTGTTCTTGAAGTAAATGCAAAGAATGATACAGATTGCAAATCTCTTCATACAGGGGTATACATAATTAAGGTAAATATCATGTGTATTAAAAAATAAATAAATAAAGTTGAAATAATTTCAGAATGCTGATGAGCTACTTTGACAAAAAAGAGCTGGCAAACCTTACAACTGCTTATTCTTACTCTTCCCTTTCCTTTCCCTTTCCCATCTGCTGTTCCAGTGCAACCCCCACCCCCAAAGAAAAGGACTTTGCCAAAATATTTGATTTTGAAGTAGTCAAGAAAATTTTCTTCTTGACTATTTCATTGTCTGGTGAGAAATTTAAGACTGCTGACTTGAAGTTTTGTAATCACCTGCTTGGGGAAATGTATCTTCCCCTGGAAAGCACCCACAACACTTGATTGTGTGCAGTGGAGGCTTATTTACAGTTTATATCAAACCAAATAATTGTCTTAATTGACAGTCTCCCCATGTGAGTGACAAGCATGAGAAGTCTGAACAGATGTCTTGAGTACTGAGTTCTATGAAGACCTTTTGGGAGGTTCACAAGTAAAAGCCTGAAAATTTTAATATCTAACTAAACCTTAAGACCTCTAATTAAAGGTTTTAATAGGGTGTTTTGTTTTTTTTTTAATTCCCTTAAATGAAATAACTATTTGCTTGTTGTTGCTTTACTTTTTTTTTCTATTTACAAACTATATAAGATAGTCTATTTCTTTTTTCAGTGTGTATTCCCACTATATATATTTCTTTAATTGTTCAATAACTGTTCCCTCTGTTACCTTTTCAATCACTTTCTTGTAATACTGTTTCTTTCAGACATCCTTACTGTTTGTGTGGTGGTGGTGTTATTTTTTTTTAGGCTAGAGACAAATTATATACAAACTAGTATGTGATTGGAAACTGGTTCAAATCTGTAACAACAGAAGTTCACTAGACATAAACCACTTTCAAAATGGCTGAAACAGGCTTAAGATAAACTTGGATGGATCTAGTATGAGACTTGACTTGAATCTGGAGAGGATCTGGGACAGAAGTTCAATAAACTGATTTAACCTAAATCAGTTAACTTGCAGTCCCCCAGGATTCTTTGCACCTGTCCCACAAACAACCTCACAGGATGGGTGGGCTAACCTTGGCTCAAGCTGTCTGCTTCAGCCAAGCAGGGAGGTGTGCCCTAGTTCCCCCCAGCTTCTGGTCTGGCCTACTGCAGGCACATGGCTGCAATTCTGGAATCAAAAGTGAATGTCACTTGCTTATCAGTTCAATCTATACTGCTTAGACTGACCTGCAAAGATTGAATCCATTCATGGGCTTTTTGATTGTCTGTACTTGGCTATAATGTCTTCCTCACTTTCGATTTGTCTTCTAATGCTTGTAGTTTTAAACTGTTTTTTGTCATTTTCCTTCTTGTTTTATATTGATCTCTCCCTCTTAACCTAGGCATTGGCTGAGGAAAAGGCAATTTATGACCGTTGTGGCAGTAAAAATATGTATCTGAATATTACTGTGAACACGCTTAAAAAGCTGAGGGATCACGGTAGCCTCTCTTCCAATGGTAAGCCATTTCAGATGGAAGGAACAATATCTGATTATTGTTTTGTTTCTCTTCAGTAGGGGAAATTATGCTGCTTTTTACATTCTTCTGGAGTAAACATATTTCTAAAACTTTTCCTTTTAATGTAGTGTATGACGTGTGTGTATATGTATGCTGTAATATAAAAGATTACCCACGCTGTAATCCTTACAGTGAGCATGTGTGTGCTGTAACGATTACAGCATGGGTTTCAAACTCATCTGGCCCCATGGCTTGGTTGTTGAGCCAGACCAGGACCATTCCCATGGGGAGTGCCCATGGTACCACATCTAGCCCACATGGTAAATGCATTGCCCCCAAAGCTTGCTGTGCATGTGCCGCCAGCATGGGGTGTGCACTGCTTGTAGTGTGAAGGCTGGACCTGACACTGCAAGTAGGACAGGAGGTCAGCCTGGGGTGCTACATGCAGCTGATCTCTTCCCTGGACCACCTATTGCATGCAGTGCCAAGTCCAGCCTGTGACCAGTCTGCACCTTGTTTTGACCCAATGTGCACAGGAGACCTAGAACCAGCACAGGCAAGCCATGTAAGGCCAGGGCCAGTGTATGGAGTTGTTTAGAGATTCATGGGTCAGTCAGCCAATAGACCTTATGTTTAAAACTTGGGTTACAGGAAATCTGATGTTTGGCAAATGCAATTAGAAAAATATTTTTAAATGTTTCTATGTTTAGGGCAAGCTAGTGGCAGCAGATCTACCAATGCAAATGGATCCGGAAAGTCAGAAGAGAAAAATGGTAAAAATAGTTGTGTTGAATGCCCTTACTTTACCTCCATATATCTGTATAAAATAAGCTAACCTTATTTCAGGGTGAAAGCCATTTCTTTCCTAACTTCTGGTTTTAAGTTCTTAGATGGTTTTTGTTGCACACAAATACCACTCATGACTAACATTTATTTATTTATTTATTTTCTTCAGGGTTTTGTCCACATTCCTTTGGGGTACAAACATACCTTAAGTGTTTTTGAGATGGGGAAAACTTGTTGACCTCACAATTTGAATGCATGCTTCCTTTCATATTGAGTGTATAAGGTGGTGCAGGTTCCCATTCCTCAGTTTCCCTTCAATCACATTGACCAGAGGGTAGTGTCTGTTCTAGACTGCATGCTTGCCCTTGCCCTAGAGTGTCTCTTTCTTTCTCTGGGTAATGTTCTTTTCCTTCTCCCTTGCACACTATTTTATTTATTTATTTATTTATTTTCAGGGACAGTTATTTTCAGGAATATTTGAGGTTCTCATGGCCTGAATGGCTCACTTTCTCTAGCTGAGTGTGACTCCATTTTTATCTTCTCTCTTCACTCTTCATAATGGTTATAGACCCATTCATGGGGTACACCTCCAGAGCCTTTAAGTTTCTCCTGGCAGTCTTATTGCTTGTCCCAAGGAACAGACTAAGGTTTATCCTGGGATAATTCCTTATTTCTTCAAGCCTCAGCTCCACTGGCCTTATACCAGCCCTTATTTATAGCTACAACAAGGCAATCTCTAGGTGGATTCCACTTGGGTTGTAAAAGAGATTTTTGGGTCCTTCTTCCTTAGAGAATGGGCCCCCTGGAAAATCACTCACCCAGAGATCACTCTTCATTACAGGCAGTCAGCAAGGAGACGGACAACAAAAGCATTTATTATATAGGATAAAGGAAAACAAGAAAAACAGCCCATAAGTTTGGAAATGGAACAAAATGACAAGTAATGTTTCTTACTCCCTCATCTGGCTACCACCTAGCCCCTTGGGAGTCCTGCTAGTGTCTTCTGAGACCAGCCTTCCTGCTCATTCTACCAACCCTGACTGCTGGGAACCAGGCCTCCTCCAAAGCCTGAGGAATATCTGAAGACCAGGCTTGTCACACAGGAAGCCTCTGAAATAAAATACAGCCTCTGCCTCCGATCAGCATTGTCCAAATTGCTCCCAAGTCATAAAATCCTCCAGAGATTTATTTCCCTAGGACATCTGGTTGCCACTTCATTCAGATGTTCTTCCCATTACAAGTAAATAATAACTGGGGTGCCTATCCCAAAAATGTCTGTGTGGTTTAGCTTTTGGCCTAACAACACAATGACAAGAGATACTTAGCAGTTATCTACTCCATTTCTTAAGCATGCATCCCTCTGTTCCTTTGAACCATGCCCAAAATCATAAAGATACATACAGACTATGTAACATAACCCATATAGAGATGAAAGCAACATAAATGGGTAGACCATAACATGGGCTTTTCAAGGAGACTACACATGCCATATCAATACAACAAATGCCAGAAAATCTGCATGACACCCCATGAACTCTTCCCCCTGCCTTAAGACTTGATAGGGTTTGTGACCATGACAGTCACTGATTAAGTTGTGGTATCAGCTGGACTTTGCATGGCTTGTAATTTTAAAACCTTAGTACAAGGTGTCTTTTCGTGAATACAATGCAGGACACGGAACTCTTCTCAAAAGTGTTATTGAAGCGTGCCACTCGTGTAAAGTTTTAAAAGTGATATTTTGCCAACACAGCATCAAAACTGATGAGGCATCTTTTATGTTTTCAGCATGGAATGTCAGCAGAAGGTGCAGATGCTCTCCAAGGATATCTGTAGGGTAAAAATGTAAGCCCAAGTGTTTGAAGTACATGCACATACACTATAGGAATGTGCATATAGATAGCAAATCTTTAAAAAAATCTGGCTAACAATAAGTATGTTCTCTTTTCAAATTGAAGGAAAATACTGACTTTCTAGTACAGGGAATGCTCTTCAGTATGGTCTTCAAATTTAGGTTCAATTTATTTAGCACTTTGAGGTATTTTTTATATCTGAAACTGAGCCGTTCTTTTGTTTTGGCTGTTGTCAGAGATACTATAAATGGATAAGGTAAATGAGTCAACAGGGATCTGGGCTTTGTTTGCTGTGGAAAAATGTGGATTTTCTCATTTAAAGGGGGTTTCACTCTGCAGGTAGCTGCTTGGGGCTGGAGGGAGGGTGATTTTTGGAGGCAGGGGACACCATGTACATGCACATGACCAGCATACAGCCAGGCAGGGTGGGGGGAGCAGCTCTGGCAGCTGGATACAGGTAAGTCTATTGGTGTGGCAGGAGAGTTGGAGGGACAGGGCTTGGGCACTATCGGGGGTGGGGGGCGGGCTGTGGGTGTCAGAGACTGTGTTGAGAAGGCAGGGTGGAGGGAGAAGGTGTCTGGGTGCTGGGGCTGCAGGGATCTGAAGTAGTGCTTGGTGCTGCCAGTGATCCCAGTAATGTGCCATTGCCAGCAGGCCCTACCTGGAGGCACCTGCCCCACCAGTGGGGCAAGGGGGCAGGGGCATCTTATGGGGGTGGTGGGGAGCTGCCAGGGCAGGCTGCTGGCACCAGGGGCGAGTGCCTGTGCTATCAAGGGCAGAGTGGCCAGGAGATGCTGCCCTGAAGTGGGAGACCATGGCCAGGCTACCTGGTACAGCACAGGAACCCTAGCCTGGGGTAGGGAGTGCCATAGCCATCACCTGGCAGGGTGGGGGCAGCTGCAGGCCCCCTCTGGCAGGGCTGGGGGGAACAAGCTGGCTGCAGGTTGGGAGTGAGGGTCAAGGGCAGGGCTGGGTGTAATAGGGAACTGCATTGGGAGTGAGGGGCAATAGCACGTACAGGGGTAGGGCACTGGCGCATCAGAGTTGCATAGCTTCACAAAGCAGTATGGCAGGAGATGCAGCTGCAGTTGGACCCACATCCTAGTGAGTGAAGGGGGCAAGGGGAGCTCTGATTTTTTTCCATGATGATAAAAACAAACAAAAAAAATCTAAAATATAGGTGTTTAGAATTTATTTTATTATGATTAAGGCACTGGTAGGCTTTCAAATTGCTTTAAAATATTAAGTATATCAATAAAACATTGCATGAAATACATACATACATAGTGGTTTTTCTTTTTAATTGCAAAAAAGTAAATGTTGGGGTTTTTAGCTAGAGAATTTGGAATTTTTAAAGAGGAAGCCAGGATCCCTGGTGAATCAAGTAAACTTAGAACTGCAAAACAATACCACAATTGAAGTAAAACCTTAAATGTACAATGCAGATGGTTAAGTGACACACTTGTTTAGAGCTCATTTTGGCTATATATGCTTAACCTATTTATACGTTTTTTACTAGATCTTACAGGAATTGTTCTCTATAGACTACTGAAAGACTACATCCTGACTGACGAACAACTAAATGTAAATCATTTCCCTCAACCAAATCCTGAAAAGCCTGGCAGTGCTATATTGAACGGAGTTACAAAAACAGCTGTATCTGACTGTGAGTAAATGAGACTAGGATTTCTGAATGCCTATCCAGAACAATTAAAATAAGAATAGAACTTCAAAGAACACTCTTACACTGGACTTTCTATTTTTCCCATCTGCTAAAGTAAAAACTGCTTAAATTATGATAAAGCATGTTGCTACTGAGGCCCTGATTTCCTTACGAACATTTCCAAAACTAGTGTTCACAAACTGATTTCAGTACACCTAAGCATGTTCTAGAACTAGAATTGTGTACATCTTTGATGCCGCTTACCAGAAAGCTTCAAGACTGACCCAAGTACTTGGATTTGGGCAGAATGTCATCTGTATCTTTGAAAGACCTTGGTGTAGACACTTAGTTTCTGGAGACAGCTAGGGTGTACCGCTGCTACTTGTCCCTGAGGAACATGTGCCATTTGTGCTTTGGCGCACATCAAGTTACCAGGCTGGGGCCAGCACTGGGCTGGCCCCAGCAGCCTTCAGGTGGAGGGGCCTTCTAGGGCTGTAGCAGCAGCAATCCTGGCTGGCATCTGCAGCGTGGCTCTAGCCAGCCCCGCTCTGCCTTTTTTTTTTTTTCCTACCCCCTTCCTGCCATGGGTTTTCTTAAACTCTCTGTACTGCTCCATTTGCAGTGCAGAGAACATTCGAATGTGCAGCATGTAGTGGTGCAGATGTGTCTGCACTGCCACATACCACGTGACTGTGCTCATCTGGATGAGGCCCTTTGTGTAAGGAGTAAAAATGTTAATGCTTCTAGTAGATGCCACTATTGATATAAGAATTCATATTGTAATGATACCTTTGTATTGTATACACCTTGAAACAGATTGCTTTTTTGTCATAGTTTCAACAAGCCTTGCAAACAGTACTGAGTGTATATTTGTTTAAGTAGAGTAATTACCTGCTCATTGTTTACCCTAATGATAAAAATCTAATTAATTCAGTTCTTCAGGTTGAATAACTTCTTCCTGGCTGACCATGTGGAAAGTACAATTTTTTTTTTTTATTTTATTTATTTATTTTTTTTTTTAAGGCTGAACTTTGATCATGAAATTATCATACTTTGTTTCAGCTTGCAAAAGAACATGCTGTAGATGTGGAAAAATATATGCTGTAACTTCTTCAGGAAAGCATATTCGTAAAGAAGAATGCAACTACCATTTTGGTAGAGTACAGAGGCATAAAGGCAAGTATACTTGTTGACGTGTAATAGGCCATCATTACCAATCCATAAAGGGAAGACTTTGCTTTCAGTTACTGAATATTAACTGTTCTGACCTTATTTACAGCCTTTTTAAGTCTTGCTCTCGCCAGGAGTCAGTTAAAACCAGGACTGTCTTCTGTTCTCTGTGGTTGTGGTTACCTGGCAATCTATCAACCTCTCTTCCTAAAGAAGCTATGTTCTAGGGCTGTGCGAAATTTCGCCAGCAGTTTTGTTTTGACTCGTTTCAAGCTCAAGACGGAGAGCTTCAAAACAGCCTTGAAACTAAATGAGGCAAGTCAAAACATTTGAAAATTTTTGAAAACATTTTGAAGCTCGAGCTGGGCTTGCCTATAGGGAAACAGAAGCTAAAGTAAGGTTGGGGGGGGGGCAAAGGACTACTCTCATTAGTGACTATGTAGCTGGACAATGACTGTCATCCTTTCCAGAGATCTCTTCCAATCCCAGTGCTCTGGGGGAGGGATGGAAAAACTGCATAAAAGGCAACATTGTTTGAACTGCCCTGCTTGGTGCCTTGAGGTCAGTTGAGAGCCAGAGGTGCACTTTCCCTGAAACCCCTACACCTATCTCCTTGAAACTTGGCAGGCTTCATGCCCTCAGAAGGGGCTATCATCCCTGTAGGTTTCATCCAAATTGGTCCAGAAATGACACAGTTTTATAGGCTGTTTTTGAGCTTCCCATTATAGCCTATGGACAAAACATTGAAACAGCAAAACCGTTTCAATGAAACGGAACAGCAGTTTCAAATCAAAATGAAATGTTCTGTCAAAATGGAACAATGCCATCTCACACAGCCCTACTATGTTCTTCTGAATTCTCCTATTTAGAGAGAAAATCCAGCTGCATTCTTAATGTTTCCCTTGGAATGGGGAAAGTTGGCTTCAGTACAGTGTCACTATAGGGGGAGCTGGTAGTGACCCATTTAGTTGAGTAGTTTTAAACACTATTTCCTGAAATATTCTACTATCTTAAATAATGCAGTTTTAAATTGCAAATTGAATTGCTCCCAAAGTTAAAAGCTAGTAGAACGTATGTATAGCAAGACTGAATGTACCAGGTTGCAGACTTAAGACTTCAAAAGAAACTTACCTGTTGCCATTCCATGATCTGTCAACTTAAAATGCTGTAAGTGGGCTTTTTGTAGATAGCAATGTAGAAATTAAAATTTATTAAACCTTCTATCATGTGCCCAATACTGATCATAAGGGCTAGGGACAGATATTACACACAAACTGGTTTAAGTGATCAGAAACTAGTTTAAACCTGTAACAGAACAGGTGTTCAGTGCACATAAACCAGTTTCAAAACAAATGAAACTGGTTTGAGAGAAACCTGGTTGAATGTAGTATCAGACTTAATGGATTTGGCTCAAATTGGCTTATGCAAGGTCTGTCCCAGACCCCTTTCTGGTTTAAGATAAACTGGACTCCCCCAGCATCCTGGCATGCTCTTTGGGCTGGGTGGGGCTCTCTGGTCCACAGCAGAGCTGGGCCCCCCCTCTGCTTCCTAGCTGGAGGTTAGACACAGCAGACACAGCAGGGTCTGCTGTTTTTTTCCTGTGCCCCCCACCCCCACTTGCTGCTTAAGCAGGGATCCCTTCCTCTTCTCTGCCACAGTAGGGACCATAGCCAGCATGTGGTATGCTAGCTAATACAGAGAGGTGTGTGTGTGTGTCTCCGATTTCACTAGGATAGGCAGACAAAACAGTGACTGCTTAGGGCTTTTGGAACTAATTGACAGATCACCCAGTAAGCTGTTTAAGAAGTTTGAACGAATGGAGAGAGGCCATTGTTTTGTTAATTGGGTGATTTAAAGACTCCTATTGGTTCCTGGCTGTCTTGCTTGCCTGTCAGTTTGCTACAGACGGTGTAAAGAAGCAGGGAAGGAGATTGAAAAGCTCAGTGTCATCAACAGATGTATGCACTGTACATCTTTTTTCCCACCCCCCCCCTTTTGAGCAGCCAGCAGAGAGAAGCTTGGGACCGTGAGGGCAGACCTCACTAATGAGAGAGTCCTGCCAGGGCCTGGCCAAACCCCCCTCAGCTCACTTCCCTGTGGAAGGGAGGGCTGCTATAGTGCTCCCCAGCTTCTAGCCTGAGACACTGCAGGCATGTGCCTGCATTTCTTCAATTCGGAGAGAATGTCTGTCCAGTTTTAAACCAGTTCAGCTTAGTCAGGTTAGATTAACCTGCAAAAATTGAATCATTTCAGGCTCAGGCTTTGTGAATGACTTCCTGGCTAGGGACAGACAATATTGTTAAAAATGTTTTAGCTTGCAGCTTTTTACTTGCATTTAAAGTTAATTACAAGCATTAAAACTTTCTAGTGACTGGTAGAATACGTTAAAATGTTTTAATTTTTGTATGGCAGTTCCTGGTGGCATGGAATCCCGCTACAGTTGTTGTGAAGGAGTTGTGGGGTCTCCTGGATGCCAAGTTGTAAAGGTAGGAACGTTCTGTAATAGGGCCTCTCATGGTTTTGCAGTAGTTTACGGTATTGGATCATACTTTAACAGGCGAGGCCTTGAGACGCTGTATAACTTTCTAGTAATGATCATATAACAACCCTGTGACAATGACAGTTGCTTTCATGAAAATAGTTGGAAGTTATTATATGGTTTTAGTTACTTTTAATACATTTTTGGAAAATGAGTTTGTCAAATAATTGTCTATTATAGAACCTCCTGTTTTTATATTAGATGTAATAGGTTGCATGAACAATACTTAATAAGTAGTCTTCCTTTGTTTTGTTCACCAAACTTGTTTTTGGTGGGCTTTTTTACTGAAGCACCCAGCCATTTGGATAAAATACTATTGTACTCAATTTTTAACACTACTGGGAATTTTACAGCTCCATGTCCATGATGGGCGAAAGGAAAACCTAGAAGGCTTTATGAAGACCTTTATCAAACCACCTCCACCTGATGGGAACCATGGGGTGTATGCACTGGACTGTGAGATGGTATGGTTAACTCTTTCATATTCTGAACTTAATTTCAAGATGGGTGCAGGTTCATAGGAAATACTGTAAATTGACTGCTGGTAGCAACATGAAAATCCATTCTACCAACAAGATATTTAGGCTAAGAGTTGGCTTGTATTCTCTCCTACAGAACGCAGTAAACTGAGGGTTGCTACTTTAAAAGTTACCTGCTTTCACAACATCAGAGCCTTATTTACAATTTTTAAAAAGTAATATTTGGTGAATTTTCTTATTAGTTTGCTCTTTTTTTCCTTTGGGGAAAATCAGCCCTGCTCTGGGGTATACCCGTTACTAAATATAACGGTCAGAAAGGTTGGACAATTTGATCAATAGCCTTTGTTCCACTATATTAGAACTGAGGAATAGCTGCTACTATAGGCTCCAACAGAGGGAAGCATATTGCCTGATTTGCCAAAGTTGTATGCTGTCAATGTCTCTCTTCCCTCCTCCCACCCCCAAAAGGAGGCAAATACAAAGCTTTTGTACAGACCTCATTTAGAGAGCTACCTTAAACCTACATTTACTTTTGCTTTTATTTTTTAATAACTTTTACTATAGTATACAGGAATAACTCCTAAAAGTTGAATATTTAGAGCAATGGTTTTCAACCTTCTTTTATTTGCGGACCACTAAAAAACTGTGTGGAAGCACAGACCCCTTTGAATGGTAAGTCTGGGTGGTCACATACTTTTGATTTGATAAGTCATGTTTTGGGGATGCCTTAGATATCATTTGCAGACCTCCAGGGGTCCATGGACCACAAGTTGAACACCACTGATTTTTAGAGCATCCTTCATTGCCCCCTGTCACGGTACTCTTTTGGGAGCCACTAAAACGCAAACCACTTGGACCTATTGTGCCTGTGTGGTCCTTCATGCCAGCGATCCATATAAACAGATCAAACAGTAATGTTGAATCTTTCTTTACCACTTGTGGTATTTGTTTTTCTTAGTGTTACACAACACAAGGCCTGGAGCTTACTAGAGTGACAGTGGTAGATCCCAACCTACAGGTTGCCTATAATACATTTGTTAAACCTGATAATGACATCATAGACTACAACACAAGGTATCCATATATTTGAAAATATCATTATTCTTTTTTTAAAAGTTGTGCAATTTTTATTATGTAAGACTGACTATAGTTGAATGAACTTTTCTTGAGACTGTCTTCTACATTACTGTGTATTTATATGATGCTGAAGAGTCCCAATCATGCCACCACATTATTCCCATGCACTATAGAAATACAGATCAAAAAGATATACACCCTGACTCAAAGAGCTCATAGCTTAAGTAGGTATGTTCTATCTTGAAAGGCAAGAATTCTTGTGACTGATTTCTCTCCTTATTGGTTGGGATACTTTAGGCAAGTTTCTGAATATCACAATACCCTTCCTTGGGTCTCACAGTTTATCCCAACTGTGGTTTGGTCTGAGAGATACCATTGACACATTCCTACTGCTTGAATTTCTCAGATGCTCAGTTACATCACTTCAACACTTTTATTTTTATACTTCCAAGAGGTTTTTTTTTCCTGGCCATTGGATGGATATTTCAATGCAGAAAAAAAGGCTAGGCTATTAAGCTGGTAAAACCTCATCTATAGATGTCCCAAATGGGGGAGTTGCTCTTTCACACCTAGCTCTTATTTAAAGAGGGAGAGGGAGACTCTCTCGTATATGTATATATGAGAGAGAGATTTGTGTAGTGTCATTTTGGACAACATTCTTTTTTGGCAGTGTGCAGTATTTTAGAACATACAGAAATACAGGCATCTTATCAAGACTTACTAATAGCTACTGTAGCTGTCACTTGGGCACGAGGTGTATACTCTAGATACAAATAATTTGGCTTTCATGCTCTCCCACTTCCTCATGCAACTCATTCTTGGTTACTCTTTTCGCTGAGGAAGCAGTAAGTGTTTGGGCAGGGCATAAGTTTCAAGGCCTTTAATTTTTTTTTTTTTAGCTGCTGCTTCACCATAAAAAGGAGGAAGTGGTTCAGAATTTGGCTCTTCTGACATCTTTCTGTCCATAGTGCTTATGTACTCACTTCCTTAGTTGATCAGTCTTGGGCTCATGAGAACCAGCTCGAGTCAATTGTCCTCAGTAGGTGATCTGAAACCCAGGTCTCTACATCTACTGTGGCACGGTAACATAATGAAGGGTGGGTGACCAAGGCAGCAGCCCCAGATGCCCATTTAGTGGGGGTCCAAGAATGGCAGCCACAGCTGCAGCCAGCCCAGCCCTTGCTGCTGCTGCCACTGCCTAGGGTACAACCCCTGATTAGTTATGCCTCCTGTGGAACTCATCCCTGAAGAAAAGGAAAGAAAAAAATCTACTTGTCTGTCTGAAATGAATGTATGGTGCTTCCAAACCTGACTTGAATAATTTTAGCTGTCCACACGCATTTGAATTGGATATGTTGTACATTTTCTCACTTTATTGAGATTTGCTTGTTTGTGTTTAATCCGAGATTTTCTGGAGTCACAGAAGAGGACCTGAAGAACACTACAACAACTATTCGGGATGTACAGGCCATCTTGTTAAACTTGTTCAGTGCAGCTACTATTTTAATTGGTCACAGCTTGGAAAGTGATTTATATGCTGTTAAGGTAAGACATGCAGGGATCAGTTCTGTGAAGCAAGGTCTCCAAGATTGTTGGAAACTTGTTCTGTTCTTAACTTCTATCTTGGGTGTTTTTAAGAAGAAAATTTATTACAGTGTGTACTATAGCCCAGTTAAAAATCGGCCAAAAACGTGCACCTCCACTTTTTCAGATTAAACTGCCCATGTTATACCTTTTAAACATATAATAAAATATAGCATGACTATTTCAAGCCATTTAATCATTTTAATATAAGCTAGGAGCAGACATTGTATTTGTCCCTGGACAAGTTATGCCTGTTTGTCCTAGGACAGAAATGTCCTGGAATTGGTGAGTACACGCATCACTCTAACTAGGCTGTAGCAAGTATCTAATGCACTACTGCTCTTCTGCCACTGATTCAATTATGTAATCCTGGAATAACCAGGCAGGCGCACACTGCAATGTCCTCTGATAAACTGCTTGTGCTGCTTATCCCATGAACCATTTTTTGGATGTCTCATTTATCTTATTTATGGGTCCCTGAACAGTTGCACTTGTCCCTGGATAAGCCATTTTATCCCAGGACAAGTGCATCATCTGTCTGTTACCATGGAATGGAGAAGTTATCACACTATAGATCCAATGTTAGCAAGGCAGGAACCTTTTGCTATTCCATAAGCATTTGAATAGTGAAAGAAATATATGAAACACTCTAAGCTTGAAAACATACTGTTTGCAAGCCAATGCAAGGTATTCTTTGCTTTTTTTGTTGTTGTTGTTTTTGTTTTTAGCTATTCCATAACACTGTTGTGGACACATCGATAGTGTTTCCTCATCGGCTAGGTTTGCCTCATAAAAGAGCACTTAAAAATCTAACGGCTGACTATCTCAGAAGAATTATTCAAGATGATGGTAAGAGCCTTTGACTTTTTATATAAGTGGTATGCATAATGAAGGGAAAGTACTAAATTAATTGAGTAATATAAAAGCTTGTCATTTGTCGTAAGTACTTCTGTCTCTCTGCTGTTTCTTCCATAGTAAGGAAAGAATGCTGAAAATGAAGATGTGGGGCAGTAGTTTTCAACCTTTTTGGACTCAAGACACACCCCTCCATAACTCTTGTGAATTGAGTGGTACCCAGTTTCAAAAACAGATTTATATATTATGGTCCTTATCTCCTTCCAGGTGTTTTGAGCAGAGAGGTTAGGAAATCCTTCAGGCAGTGACAATCCTGTGCTGGTGTTATCCACCTTGCTTATCTCCTCCTTTCTGCATTCTCCAAAGGATCTGGTGGCACCCCAGGGTGCCCCAATACTCTGGCTGAGAACCACTGATTTTTGGGGTGAAGTTGTTGCTCTTAAAGTTGTTAACTATTTGTTGGAGTGGCCTAAAGAGTACAGATCTGAGTACTCTCATCAGCATCTTATATATTCTTGTGTGTGTGTGCAGGTTCTGTGCCTAGGCTTTAGTCATTCTGATGCATAATATTACTTGAGATGGTTGCTTCTAATCCAATAGTTGGTATTTTTCCTTTTCCAGGGTTCAGTTTTAAAGTAAATTTTTAGAATTTAATTTCATATAATTTGTCTCCAATGTGTAGATGCCTGTAAGCAATAATATTATCATGTTTTGCAGCACTCAAACCAGATTGTTTCAGTGAAGTGAAATAGCTTTATGCAGACTTCTGTTTTACACAGACTGCTTCCAGTTCCCCAGGCTAGCTTGCATAGCATATGCCACATGCCTACATTGCATTGGGTGCATCAGATACTACATCACCATGTACCCATTGTAACAACCTTGGATTGTTTGTTTGCTATGGTAGGGTGCTTAACCTTTTGACCCTATGGTCCAGCTAAAGGCTATGGGGCCAGTATGGGCTGGATCAAGCTCTGGGAACCCTGCGCTTCCCTCGCCCAGCCACACAAGCAAGTATCAAGCTTTAGGGCCCTTGTGCTGCCTCCGCCCAGCTTTGGAGCCATGAGAAGCCCTGTGCGCCAGATGACATGGCACTGGGGACTGAACACCCCTGTGTTTTGGCAGTCTTTTTTAATGAAAAACAAGGGTGCTGGGAGGGATTTAAGGAAGTAAAAAGATCTTAAGTAGAACTAGATACAAGCTTTAGCCATATTATACGGAAGATTTGTTTTGACTATTGTGGCAGCTGAGGTGCCTGTAGCAAGGCAACATGGCTGGCTCAGCAAGCTCACTGCCAGTGCTAGCCAGAGGCTTTGGTTTGGAGCTTGCTCAGTGGCAGTGGGGGCAGCAGTGGGAGGGGGAAGGAGACCTTGTGCTGCTAGAGGCGGGGAGAGGTTCACATGACGGTGGGAGGGGGGTGGGTGCTGTACACTGGAGGGGTCCCAGGGAGCCTGTGCAACTCCTGGCTACTCTGAAGTTGGACAGCTCTGTTCTAGAGGTTTAAAGCTCTTCTTTACTTGCCTTTACAGAGACTACCTGCTGATTACAGTCCCTGCCAGTTAAACTGCCAGCAAAAGTCAAAATGGTTAGAAATGAATTCATTTTTGAAGCTGCAAATTTTCATAAGCAAGAAAAAATGTAACTTGGTAGGAGGAGAGGAGAAAGAGGGCACCAACCCTGGGTGCTGATTTTTTTAGAAGGGTATCAGAATGGCAGTCCCCAGGGAGCCTCCACTGTTAATGCCAATGCTGCAGTGTGTTCACAGAGCTTGTGCTCAGGTAGTAGCAGCCCCTGAGTCAAATGGTAAGGGCCTGCTTCCCTTACTCCTGCCCTGCTAAAAAAAAAAAAAAAAAAAAAAAAAAAAAAATTGACTCTGCAGTGAAGTCTTAATGAATCTTGCAGACAGCTCACATTTTTAGAATAGACTTTGTGAGCAAATCACTTTTCATGGGGTTCAAAAGTGTATACCTAACCTAAGCAGGGAGGCTATAAATGTGAACAGGAAACTGCTATGTTGTGCAGGAAACAAGATATGGACATAAATTTCACTACTTTGGAACAGTTTGTATGTAGTTTGATATTCAGTATCAAAGGTTCTATTACTATTCTGACAAAAGTGAGATTTCAGTAGAGTCAGACTAAATGCTTGTATTTTGATAAATAGTGATGGCTAGCAACATTCCAAGTTGCATATTAATTAATGCCACTTAAATCTTATCATGGCTTACAGCTCTTTTCTTTTTTTTCCCCCAAGGTGTATTCTTTCATTTGCTTCTCTAGCTGCTCTTAGTTCTGCTCTACCCAGGGTTGTGTGGGTTTTTTTGTTTGTTTGTTTTTGCTGGGATAACTATTTCTTGGCTATTCTAGAGTAACACTTTTAATAAAGTAATTAAAATAAAACACCTGTTTAAACTTTCTAGTAATGTAAATCTTGCGAGATGGACACCTGCTGCTTTTACTACAGGTTTTTTTTTAGAATATAAACAAGAACTCATTTTTATTGCACAAAGTTAAATTAGTTTTAATCGTTTTGTCTCAACTCATTCCTTACTAGATTTTTTTTTTTTAAATAAAAAGAATGGGAAGGAGGATTGCCCAGCTTCTCTGACTCTTCTTGAGGTAGAGAGAGAACCTTTTTTTAAAATCTTGTATACAGATGTGGAGGTGAATAAGAACTCTGAACTTTGGTATCAGCTTGAAGCGCACTTTTTTTTTTTTTTTTTTTTTTGTCAGTAAGCATTTCTCTCTAGGAGCTCTATTTGCAGGAAAGGGATTAGTTGGGAGTTTCTGCTGCCTGTATCACTGCTTGTAATTGCCAAGGTTGTTTTTTATTAGTTGAGTGCCTGACATACCTTCCAGTCATAAGTATGAAGCAGACCACTGTTACACTGGAAAAATAAGAAATGGGTCAGCTTCACGAGACTCCTGGCCCCAGCACATAGTATCTATGGAAGGATATTGTGTAGTTCAAATACTGCTGTAATGTCTGCCAAATGATGAAGACTATTTAAATAAAGATGCTTTTACATGTGATGTGGAGGAGCTATGAAAGACCTCTAATATTTTGGCTCATCATCTGAGATGCATTTTCTTTCTTTGGAAGTCATTGGGACTCATACAGTTACTAATGCCCTGTATTTTACCTTAGCTGGCTCCAATTTATAATACTGTGTATTATGGGGAATGGAATACTGCTTCCACAAGATCTTGTTCTATTTTCATTTTAAGTGGGTAGAAGTTGTGTCACTGGCTTCAGTGAATTGAACCAGTTCTGTGCAAAAGGAAGCTAGATTACACTCTTATATGCTGATAACCTCTTGTATTCCGTCTTCTCTGTAGCTGTGCTTTCTTTATCTAATGGTACTGTGTTCTAAAATGTGTCCAGTATTTTGTTTCAATTTTTTGGAAGCTATTATTTTATGCCAAAAATTTTTTCCTCTTCACTTCCCAGGCTAATGCTTAAGCAAAGCATTAGCCTGGGAAGTGAAGAAGAAGAAAAACTTTTTCTTCTTCACTTGAAGAGTAAAAGGTGTGTTAAGGTGTGTGATGAAAGCATCACACACCTTAACATTTTCTGAAATAAACCCTCACCACGTAAGTATCTAAACCATGTGTGTCTCAAGTATCCACCCCAACCTACCATGTAGGAACATTCTTCCTCTTGGAGGAATAGAATGACAGTTCAAGTGCTGGCTAATGTAGGTTTGGATGGATAAACGTTGTTTGCACAGACATACAACAGGGGTGTGCAAAACAGGCCATATTAAATTCAGATTTGGCCCCAATCGGGGACAGCAGTTTGGATAACTGTCCCTGATGCATTTTGGCTGAATCCAAATCTAAAGATTTGATGCTGATTTAGACATAGACACAACTTTAAATGTTGTTTCTACATACCTCAAGGCACCAGGCGTGGCTCATGAATGCTGCGGCAGATGGAGCATCCCACAGGAGCGCGGGGCGGGCTCCCCATGTGCTTGCAGCATTTCTGGGTCCACCAGGGAGCATGGGGGGGGGGACCTGCACCCCCTCAGCTCAGTGATCAGCTGCAGGGGGACCCCAGGTGCCCCCTCCAGACCCAGGAGGCACCAGTCACATGCTAAGACCTACCTCTGGAGGTGTAGGTTTACCCACAAGTGAGATTTGTTATCCCCATACATACTTGAACCATGCCCTCTCCCTTATCTTTCTCAGTCTTAAGTTCTAGTGACTTTGCAGTTGAGGAAAAACTTAAGAGCAACATGTATGCACAACCACTATCTTTTGGTATCGGAAGGATGGAAAACTGCTATGAAAACAGCTTCTGAATATTGTGAAAGCCTGAGGTTTGGGGGGGGGGGTTGTTTTTGTTGTTGTTGGTCTTTTTTTAAACCAAAGACTTGGAACCTAAGCATACTCTCAGAAGGGAGTCTGTCTGTCTAATGATGCATCTAGAAGAACTTTGGTTACAGATTTTCTTTTTCTCTATATGGAATGGGGGGGCGGGGGGATAACTAAGTGCTCTATAAAAAGCAGTGAAATCCCTATTCTTCTTTCATAGCTGAATCTTATTTTACAATGGAGTTGCATAACTCAACAGCACAAGTAGCTGTGAGAGCAGGGATGGAACAAATTAGTTTTGACTATCAGGAATTCATCAGTTGTGTTTACATCCTGGGGTGGGGAAATGATTGCAGGGTGCCTTTTTAATAAATTGTTCTGCTAAACTTTCTAGGATGAATATACCTGTATAGAAGTCAAAAGCAAAATACATAGGCACCTGTGTAAAACTTCTCTCAATGAATGAATATAAAAAATAAATCTCAGCCTAATACTGCTTCAAAAGTCTGGCTCCCCTCATGCAATTGCCACAGTTGACCAACAGTTTTTATGCAAACTTTAGAAATAGAAAATTCAAAGAAATGGCCACATGCTTTCTTACAAGCCACTTGATTTTTGCTTCTTTTTTTAAAATTTGAATGTGTATTAAAAAAAAAAAAGACATAAACTAGTTATGTGAACACATTAAGAATTTTGCCAAAAAAAAAATCAAGGCTTATTTTCAAAGTACAATGACTCTAATATTAGTACTTAATTTCCTCAATTCTGTCCCAACGTGACTTTCATGTCCCCGATGGGTCTACTAATGTTTTGGGATGACACCTTGTGTGTAGTAGGAAAATAGTGTCTAAATGAAAGTCTGTCATCAGTTGTTGTCCCCAAACTTACAAATCCTAAACTTCATGTGGTAGAAATATGCCATTTGCATAATCTGATCCCACCCCGTTTCCCCTGAGATTTTTTTTTCTCCCCTCCCACCCCCTGCTTTTTTGGTTGGTCTTTATCAACAGCTGTATTATACTCTCAATTAGGGTTAAATGCAATGTTGGTATACTCCTAGATATTCCAGTTACAGTAAACTTGTAGTCTGGTATGGTGTTACTTTTACCATGCCATAAGTCACCAGGCTTGCTTGGTCAGTTCTAAACTTTTCTAAAGTGTAATAGTTAACTTCCTCCTCTAACCTACCTGATTTTTATGATGGCATTAATGGAGAAGTATTGCTGCCCTAATATTGGTTTTCTCCCTTTAAATATGATTTTGTCTCTTACCAGTTGGTGGTCATGATTCTAGTGAAGATGCTGCTGCTTGTATGGAACTAATACTTTGGAAAGTAAAAGAAGATAATAAGGGTAGAAAGTGGTGATCTCTTCACTTCAAGAATGACAGAAGAAATGTGAAACTACTTACTCTTCCATAACTTTCCAGTCCCACTCCCTCATGCAATGGGCAACAGATGATACTAGGAGAACCTTTTTTTCTGTTACTTGTTCACATTTGAAACTTGTATTAAAAGACCAAAATGCTGTAATTATGCTTCATATCCCATGTGTAACTTACTCATTGTATCTATAAGTACTTCTGTATAAGAATGTTAAAGCTTTGGGTGTTGACTCTTAAGGAAATGCGCTTTTTTTTTTTTTTTTTTTTTTTTTTTTTTTTTTTTTTTTTTTTAGCATGAAAGTGTAGCTGATAGAACTAAACAAAAATCTATGCTGAAATTGTTACTGATCTAAACCAGTCAGAAGTTAGAAACTGAAAAGAAGTATTTATGTAATATCTGTGTTTTTCAGTTTTTTGAAAGCTTGTCCCAAACTCTTTCATACACTACTGCATGTCACCTTGCTCTTAACCTCAGAATATCATTGCTGTCTAGGCAGCAGATGAATTGGTTTCCCTTCAACTCTTTGGACCCTTCCCCTCATACATTCTCTTACAGGGTGGAATAAAGACCTCGAGCAGAAAAAAAGTGGAAGAATTCTATGATATTACTTACCTCAAAGCTGTTTCTAAAGGTAATTTAAAGTGGTATGATGTAGTTGTACTCTAGTGATTTATGTTTGTTTAGTTAGCACCTTGTTAACTTTACCTTGCAAAGATGTTTTGTAAGTTCATTTTGTAATTAAGAAGAGTTTTAAAAAACAAAGGGAAAGAAACCCCTTATTTTGCCAGCTGCCTATAGGAACTTAAAAAAAAAGAGTAAAATGTGTTTGTTTATTGTGTGCAGGGTTCATATTGTCTATTCCTTTAGTTCAGGGGGGAGAGAAAATATATTTTATTTGAATGTATACTATGTAAAGAAAAAAAATAAGGTTAGACTTGCTGTCATTAGTAAGTTCATGGTGTTAAGGAATAAAGAAGAAAATGGCAAACTGATCTCAGCCTAAACCCAAGATGAAAATAACCATGCCAATCCCTTGTAATGATGCTATGCTACAGGACAATACGTACTTTTACCTGGTGTTCACTAACTTAGCAGTATATGTGGCAGTGGTATTTAGCTGTTGCAATTCTTAACTCTACATCTATGCTACTACTTAGCCTAACCATTCTCCTAAGTTAGGCATGTTGGGTACCTATAGGCACACAGTTAGAGGTATAAGTATAGGGTACATGAAACCCAGCCATAGCGTAAGGGGTGTGGGGGATTAGAGAGGGAATTGGCACTGGAGTTAACTTAAAAGTAGGACTGGAATCATGCCTACCTCCCCCAGAGTCTTATTTGTGCCTGGAGTAACCCTGCCCTGCTCTGGCTAGAAGAGCTGAGCTGCAGAAGCCCTGCTCTGCCTGACCATAGGCACTGGGTGTAAGAAGCAGTGGGTGTCTTGCAATTTAGATAAGACTCTGCTATTGCCAGATGGCACAGGGCTGCTCTAGTTCAGCTTCTAGGGCTGTAGGGCACAGGGTTGTTCCTGCTTTGTGCTGGAGCTGGGTGGTATGGGGCTGCTTCAGCTTGGCTCCTATGGCCATGGAGCTGAGGCCTGCTCCAGATGTGACAAAGGAGTACTTGGTCTTGCCCCGTCACTCCTCCCTCCACAGCAAAGGTTTGCTCAGGGTAGCAAAAGTTATGTTACTCCTCTGGGACCCAGCCTGTGAAGCAAGTTGCATGATGGGATTTAACACTGTCTTCTGTCCCTACCACCCCATGACCCAAAGGTAATCAAATGCTCAAGTCTGGGCTGGAGAGAGGCATCTTGCTCTGCTTGGTATCCTCAAACATGGAACCTGCCCCTGTTTCCCCAACCCTTCTGCAGTTAAGCTTTTAAGCACACATAAGCCTTTTTTCTTTAAGGGAGGAGGGGATGAAGGCCAGGCCACCTTCCCTTTGCATTATAGCCAATACCTCAATGCATATGGTGTCATTTGCATTGGACTTATGTTTAAATATGCACCGTTCCTGTGCTGGAAGCAGGTATTGTAGCTAGCAGGCTATATACTCAAAAGAGGAGTATACCTCCTCTGCTCAGGCCTGCAGGCGGGCTGTTAGGAAGGCCAAGGCGGATATAGAGCTCGGATTAGCGTCCAGGATTAAGGATAACAAAAAGTCCTTTTTCAAATATATTGGGAGGATGAAGAAGGCGCCGTGTAATGTGGGGCCCCTGCAGGATATGCTGGGCAATCTGGTGGTTGTGTCGGAGGATAAAGCGGACCTCTTTAACCAATTCTTCACCTCCGTTTTCTTGTGCAGGGACCGGGACTTCCCTGCTGTGATAGAAGCCGGACGCGAGGGGATCGCCTTCAGACCTCAGGTTGGGGAGGACCGGGTTAGAGAGCTTCTGGAAGGGCTGGACGCGTTCAAGTCAGCGGGTCCGGATGCTCTCCACCCCAGGGTGCTGAGGGAGCTAGCTGGGGTTATTGCAGGGCCCCTGGCATGGCTCTACGAGCGATCGTGGTGCCCGGGCCAGGTGCCAGACGATTGGAAGGTAGCTAATGTGGTCCCCATCTTCAAGAAAGGGAAAAGGGAGGACCCGGGCAACTATAGGCCCGTCAGTCTTACCTCAATCCTGGGGAAGCTCTTTGAGAACATCATCAAGGAGCACATTTGTGATGGGCCGGCATCAGAAATGATGCTCAGGGGCAATCAGCATGGATTTATTAGGGGGAGATCATGTCAGACCAACCTGATTGCCTTTTATGATCAGGTCACAAAGGCCATGGATGCAGGTGTCGCGGTGGATGTAGTCTTTCTGGACTTCAGCAAGGCCTTTGACACCGTCTCTCACCCCATCCTAATTAATAAACTAGGCGACTGTGGCATAGATGCCTACACAGTCAGATGGATTGCAGATTGGCTGAAGGGTCGCACTCAGAGGGTGGTGGTGGATGGATCATACTCGACTTGGGGGGAGGTGGGTAGTGGAGTCCCCCAGGGCTCGGTCCTGGGGCCTGCGCTGTTCAATTTCTTCATCAGCGATCTTGATGTTGGGGTGGAAAGCAACCTGTTTAAATTCGCTGATGACACCAAAATTTGGGGGGAGGTGAGCACGCTAGCAGGGAGAGAGAGATTGCAGAAGGATCTGGATAGGTTACAGGGGTGGGCAAACAGGAACAGGATGTGTTTCAATACGGACAAGTGCAGGGTGCTGCACTTGGGTAGTAGGAACCAGCAGCACACTTATACGATGGGGAACTCCCTACTTGAGAGCACGGAGGCGGAAAGGGATCTTGGTGTCATTATTGACTCCAAGATGAACATGGGCCGACAATGCGAGGTCATGGTTGGCAGGGCTAACCGGACCTTGTCGTGCATCCACAGGTGCATCTCGAGTAGAGCCAGGGAGGTGATCCTCCCCCTCTATGCGACGCTGGTCAGGCCGCAGCTGGAGTATTGTGTCCAGTTCTGTGCGCCCCATTTCAGGAGGGATGTGGACAACATGGAGAGGGTCCAGAGGAGGGCCACCCGCATGATCCGGGGACAACAGGGCAGACCCTACAGTGAGAGACTGCGGGACCTGAACCTATTCAGCCTCCACAAGAGAAGGCTGAGGGGGGACCTGGTGACCGTCTATAAACTCACTAGGGGGAACCAGAAGGGTTTGGGGGAGACGCTGTTTCCCCTAGCCCCCGCTGGCATAACAAGGAGTAATGGGCACAAGTTGATGGAGAGGAGGTACAGATTGGACATCCGAAAAAACTACTTCACAGTTAGGGCGGCTAGGAGCTGGAACCAACTTCCAAGGGAGGTGGTGCTGGCCCCTACCCTGGGGATCTTTAAGAAGAGGCTGGATACCTACCTGGCTGGACTCATTTGAGTCCCGTTTTTGTTTTTAGGGGGTTTTTTTTGTTGTTGTTCTCCCGCCCTGGCGGGGGGGCGGGCTAGAAGATCTATTATGTCCCTTCCGACCCTAAAACTATGAAACTATGAATACAATGGGGGTTCCCAACTGTTGAAGTTGCCCTCTGTGTAAATCAGTTCAACAGAGAGATAAACTAGCAGCTGCTACATCTTCAGAGAATCGTGGAAGTGGAGAGCTGGAAGGGACCTCTGGACAATTGGCACGAGCAACAACAAAGCCCTTGAGGCAGCAGTCAGCGCCTTGCTGAAAGGCCAAGGGCTGGGCTGCTGGACCACAGAGGTAACGGCCTTTGCTGCCTGTCTCTTTCCTGCATATCTAGTATGCCTACCTGCACGGTAGCAGAGCAGCAAGAGGAGCCTGGAAAAGTCTCTGTCGGCCAATAACCTGGTGGATGGGGCCCTCTCCTTGAATGTTAAAGTACTGAGTTCAAATCCTCCTTACATGTTCATTGTTACATAAGCATGGGTAAATGCCAACTCCACATTTTCCAGAAGAGCGAGGGAAAACCCAGATATGAAACAGTAGTAAAATGTGTCTTTTACCTTGCATAGACATTAGCAAAACAGCAGAGAGGCAGGCCGAAAAACAGACCGTTGGACATGTGGCTGTCAGGTGAAGGGCCAGACCACTAGACCATAGTCTGGGCTATTTGCTGTTGCTCTCATTCTGGCCTCCTGACTTCCAAGCCTAGTAGCATGGCTTGAACTTGTTGGGTATGCCCTTGTAATCTGATGGCCTAGTTGTATACTTGGGAGCAAACTGATGTGGGTTTGAGTCTTCTTCATGGCAGGAGGTCATTGGATTTGCAGCTGCTTCTCCAGTCACATGCTCTTCCTCAGGCCAGTCCAACTGGAAAGGGTAGACTGGAGGTGTGGGGAGTCAGTGGCCATCTAAGCCTAAGAGGCAACCAAAGCCATAGTGTCACATTTAAGGGAAATAGGCTAGCATAGTTGGCATTTTACACTCAACAGACTTCGCTCAAAGGGAAAAAAATGGAATATGCCAGCAGGTGCTGTAGGTACCAGGCCCCCGTGAATATGTCGTCTCACCCTGGACTTGCTTCTTGGAACTCCTTCTGGCTCCATAAACATCACAGTCTTGCCTCCTTTGGCACACAAGCTCAAAAGGTGACTTTGAGGGACTTCCCATTGCTATCCATGTGCTCTGTCACTGGTCTGTTGATCAGGTCATGGTAACAGTCTTTTCTGTATGGTACTATGGCCTCAGGAAGTTTGGGATCATTTTTCTAGATAAGCTGCAGGCTTCCTCTGTAAGTTTGTTACTCTCATCTTTATGCCTCCATTCTACATGAGGTGTAATCATAGCTTTGACTACAGGGCAGACTTACAAACCCTTGGTCTGTATGTTCCAATTAGTTAGTAAGCTCCTCAGGATAGGGCTGTCTCTTGCTACTTGTCTGTAAACTGCCTAACACAATGAAGAGCTGCTCTTAGCAGGACCTTTATGTAAAGTACAAATAATACATGTCACGTAAATACCAATAGTTTCTCCCCCATATTCTTAAAAGTATTGAAATTTACCTTTCTCATACAACTATTGACAACAATGTTGTCATAGACACTATATGGTAGCTTGCCCTTTCTTTCTTTCTTTACTGTCAGTCATCTATCTATTTGAGAGCCTATTTAGTAGATTCAGTTGTCAGACACAACCTCTCAAAGTTGCTTTGTTGAAGAGCAAAATAGTCCTGCCTTCCTGAACATTACATACACTAACTGATCGTTGTCTAGATTTGAAAACCTTTATATAAAATCATTGAAGAAAAACTGGTACAACAAGTTAGTACAATATGTGTTAAAAGCCACACAGCAAATTATATCCTTTCCCATAAAGGACAGGGAAGGGAGAAGAAATTAGGTAAACCTTACCTGTTTATAATCGGAAAGTAATCTATAACTATACGTTACGTTATTAAACTCAAATGGAAAATGAAGAAGTTTTCTACCCAGACTAATGTGTTCTACACTGTTTAACATATTTATAAATGTCCATAAATGCCATCTTTCTTCCTAAAATAGCAACATACTCATTAATATATATACTTTCAAGTTAAACAAACACTGATATTTTAATACAGACATTGACTGTTAAACTTAACAAAAGAACAAATAGCATTTACCTTCTTCTCACAGGCATCAGTTAGTTCAAAAATTGTAGTAACAAATTATTTTCATAGCTCACTTTTACTGCCAGTTTCAAAGAGCAGTTATAATAACTAATTATCTTTTGAAATTGCTACTGTGTAGGCAAGCAACTGTTTTATCACTGGTACCAAACATAAAGCATTTCTGTTTGAATCACAATAAAGTTTGGATAACACTTATGAGATACTGAAATTCTTATTATTAATTTGGCGCACATAAAAAAATTAGGAGGCAATGCACAATGCATTACAATAATTGTGTCCAATGAGCAACATACAGAATTGATCACATTTCCAAAAAAAACATTGTGGATGAAACATATCAGAGTTCATTACTCGAGTTCATTTCTAGTCAAAACAGTATATACACTCCTACAGTTTATGGAGGCAGAATTTCCGGGAAGATATGCACATTGGTATCTGTAGTTAAACAACTACAGATATTATACAGAGAGAGCTATACACAATTCTACACGGCACATCATAATTCTAGACTCCTGTTGGTTTTGAATTTTGTTTAATATATAATCATTACATGAAGATTTTCTGTCTTATGCAGCTTCTTCAGCAGAGCAATCGATGCCTGCATAGGTAAACTTCTCATACAGGGTTGTATTCACATAGGTCTGAAACAATGAGAGAGGTTAAGGTAAGATGGAATGAATGTTTCTTAAGCTCCTCAAGCTGTAGAGAAATTATCCAGTGGTACATTATTACCTTTCGTTCTTCTAACATCCTGTTCAGGGACACCAATATCTGAGCGAAGGATGGCCTTTCATATGGTTTCTCCCGCCAACATTGTCTCATTAGGTCATACCTAAAAGTCAGGTGCAAACCCATTATGACTTGGAAGCCCCTCTCTCAGCACAGTGAATGAGGGTTTCATCTTAAAAATAGAATAAATATCATATAGTTGCAGGTTGGGATTTCCAAAGTAAACTAAGGATTTTAAGTCCTTTAGGCTTCTTCGGAAAGCTGACCCCCAAATACCTAACATGGAGGTTAAAGCTCAATTTTGAAATGAAAGAGAAGTAGCCAAACATAAGACCTTTATACACAAAAAGGCAACTAAGATCCAAAGATCAGGAGAGTGTTGGAACTTCCTAGCCATCCTCTTGCAAGCAAATTGTGTCCTTTGTACCAGAGGCCAGGAGGAAAATGACATAACAGTTACTGCAGAAGCTCTACACCTGAGACTTCTGCTAGGTTTGGTTGGTTGTGTGGCATATATATGGGCTAATGATCTGTTCCATTGCTTCAGTCACTGCAGTAATAATTACACTGGGCACCAGCATTACTCATTTCTGCTATAAACACATTTAAATTAAAGCTTTCCTTATTTTACTCAGTCAAATTTCAGGAACTTTTCTATTTGGGCTTAAATTTCCAATGGCTGATCTCTATCTGAAATGGCATCTGTTTTGTAAAACTTAAGTTCTTTGCAAAATGGAGGCAACCCATACTTCATAATAAGTTGAATGCTTCAGAAGTGGGGAAGTGTCACTACAATTTTCCAACCATCCGTACTTACTGTATGAAAAAGGCCTCAATAGTTACCATAACCTGGGCATGTCTACACATGCATATTAATATGAAGCAATAAACATTCTGGAGGTTATTGCCCTTGCCTGCACTGTTTGCACATGTGCCCAGGACCACAGCATGTTGAGCCATGCTGGAACAGCCCTTGCCTCACAGGCCTGGGCTGGCTCCCCCTCACTACCCCAGCTGTTATAGTCGGGGGGGGGAGGGGGGCATGAGGGGGCTCCATTCCATCCTCCCCACCTCCAGTTTGGCATCCTCCAAGGAGTACCCCCGCCTATTGGCCAGGGCCCATGCAGGCAGGCTCAATCCCCCCCTGACCCAACAGGCAAACATCTGTTTGGTTCTGGGGGGTGGGGGCAGGCTCTAACTTATGGTGCTTTATATAAAGCACCATGCGTTTGAGAGGGTGCCTGAACATCTCTAGGCATCATAGGCAATGCATAGAGGGGGCACAGGGGTGGGACACATACCCCCCTGAGTTTGGCCCTCACTGGCCAGGGAGTGGGAAGCGCCAGCCGGTACCCCCTGTGAAGCACCAGCAGTACTTCCAGTTTTGCCAGCGGTGCTTCTGAGGTTGGCAATCAGCCGCTGAGGGACTCCCCCCGGTTGGCAATTGGCTGCTGGTGCCCCCCGAGTCAGAAGGCACCAGTCACCCTTAGTAGGCATCCTAAAAGGTTACATGAGATTGTTTACTTACACTTCATCATCACAATTGAGAGGCTTTTCCAGTCTGTATCCTTGTGGCAATTTCTCATAGAGTTCAGCGCACGTCATTCCACAGTATGGTGTTCCACCTAAAACATACAATTTTAATATTATGCTAAGCAAATTCTTCTTGTAATGTCATGAAGGAAAGAAACTTGTGATTCAGGCCCCTGGCATACATTACACCTAAGACATGATTAAACAGTTCATCATATCTTAAGTTGTTACTGGTCACATGTCAAAAAATGTGTAATAACTTTGTGGCTGGTTCCTATCATGCCCTTAATTGAATGTGTGGCCAGGCAGAGACTCCCTCTGTGGCTGGGAAACCCATCAGCTGATGGGGCTCCTAGCTGTGTGAGCTTGCTACTTGCTGGTGCAGGGGGAGCCCAGGATCAAAATCCCAGGCTCTCTCTGCACTGGCAAAAAGGTGATGGGATCTGATGCTCAGTCTCATAATCATGCCTCCTGCCATGCACATGAGACATAGCAGGAAACGTTATTGTGCAGATTGTGCATCAGATCCCATGCCACCTTTACTTGCACATCAGCCAGAGTCCTGAGGAGCACAAGATGAAATATCTGAGGAGGACAGGCAATGCTGATTATCCCAGCTCAGAAAGAAAAATGCACTGAGTAACCATACTAAATAAAAAATATTGTATTTATTATGTGTGCTCTGTTAAAACATGCCTAGTGCCACACCTAGTAGCACTTCCCTCAGCACTCTTCTATCCTCTTTTTTTCAGTCCCTCCATTTCAAATCATGGAAATGAGGTAACATGGTGGCCTTAGATTGGCACTGAGGGCACACCAACAAACACACCTGAGACAGGGAGCCAGTGTGACCATTCACAGTGGGTCCCTGTAAGCACTAAGTATTTGTGGATTCAGGCTTTAATATTATTTGAATAATACTTTTAGAAGCTGTCCATTAAAATTCCTAGAAAAGATGAAAGGGAGCTTAAATTGAAGTACAACTCTGTAAAAAAAACCCTCTAAATGTAAAATGTAACACTTCTTAAACTGTAATAATTGTCTTTATTTCTTCAAAGAGTCTGATCTAAAGCCCATGTAACATAGAATACTGCCCATCAGCTGCAAAGGCATTTTGATCATGCTCTAAGTCAAATGATATGCTTATTTTTTTAGATTCCAAATTGATTTACTTTTTAAAGTGTGTTATTTAAAAAATAAATTGTTATTTTAAATTCTTTAATGTTTGAAAGTGAAAATATCATATCTTTACTTTTGTAACATGGGGCATGCACAGGACTTGGAAATGTGATCATGTCTGTTTTATAAGGGTACCATGATTAGCTAATGAATCAAAAGAAAACATTGGAAAATGTTTGAAAGAAAGGAACTGCTTAGTGGGCTAAGCCCACAGCTGAGAGCCTCGAATATTCTCTCCCAGCTTTCTCCAAGCTGATTTATTTGTATGCTGGTAAAAATCAATACTTACCTAAACTAACAATTTCCCATAGTAGGACACCATATGACCACCTACAACAGGGAGGAAGGAAAAGCATTCAGAGCTCAACAGGAACAATGAGCAGGTTTGTTATTAAAAACATAATTTAAGTATAATTATATTTTCAAACATAAAATGTCAATGACACGTTTGAGCATACACAAAGAACACAAGATGTGATTAGTTCTTTTCATTATTTGTACATAACTTGCTGTTTAATAGCAGGAACTTGGACTTCCTAACATAAGGGGCTGGATTTTCAGCAGGCCTAAATCAGTGTAAACAATATTGACTTTAGTATAGCTGGACCACTTTATGCTATCCAAAGGTCCAGTCTGTAAACTCCATCCTTTTTTTTCCCTCGCTCTGTGCAGGCACCAAATTCTTACAGTTTTATGGTGTAAATGCAGGGCAATGTTGCTGAGGTCAATATAATTACCCTAGGTTTCCATTGCTAGAAGCCAGAGAGAAATTCAAATCCAAAGAGCCTAGTTTCACTTCAGTCTTCCAGAGAATCGCCCATTTTGTTCCTTCTTATTAATGAACTCTAATTCTGAATTCTTTTAAATGCCTCAGCTTGCTTAGGACTCCCCTCTCCCCTGGTTTTTTGCTTTTTTTCCTTTGACCAAAGTTGTTGGTGAATCCTGATCATGTTAATCATTTATGAAGTTCTCTGGTCCCAAATTCTGCTCTGTTACACTAAGAGAAATCCACAATGGCTTTATTGCCTTTAGAGTCACTCCTGGCTTACAACCACGTACGTGAGGACAGAACCAAACCCACTGACTTCAATCCAACTATTCATGTAGGAAAAAAACTGGCCTGTAATGGGTCCCATTAATGTTTTCAGGGTTTTATAATTTTACTTATGTTCTCTTATTTCATTTATCTGACTCCAAAGAAAATTGTTATTCAAAGGTGATTTATCTTGTGCTTCCTTTTTTCCTCTTCATTTAAAGATTTACGGATGCAAGCTCAAAAGAAATGATTTGGGAAATAATTAAACACTACAGCCGTTAATAGGAAATGAACTCTATCATCTATATATAAACATCTCAGTAAGTCATGTCTTCCAACATTACCTTCTCCTTTTGCCCCAGGAACTCTGATCCAGTAAAGAACATAAGCATGGGTGTGCCTTTAAAGCTCATGAGTAGTCCTATTGACTTCAATGAGACTATTAGAGCGCTTACAGCTAGGTGTGTCCTTTGTTATGACAAGGCCATGGTCCTTGGTCAGATCAATTTATCATACCCTGAGGGGTACCTTTTTCAGGTTATTCAGAGCTGGAGTTCTAGGTGGCCCATCTGACCCAGTAGGGACAGTGACAATTGTCATGAGACCATAATCAGCCATGGAACTGGCTGACATAGAGGTTTGTAATCATTACAACCTAAACTGTAAAGAAAAGCAGCACAGAGGGGACAGCAACTTGGACATGAAACGTTAGGAGAGATGAAAAAAAAGCACAGCCAGGAATAGATGAACTTGGTTTGGAAACCTGTCACCAAGGGAAGCAAGGCAAGTGCTTGACTATACAGCATCATTTCTAGCCCAGGTTTTGTCTGGTCTATCCCTCCCAGTGACCTTAAGGGGGAAATGGTGGCCTGGATGATGGCAGATCATGAATCTTTCTAATGATCATGGTGTCTAGCCCTTAATTAGCTGAAGCAGCACCAATATCAACTCTTACATCCATCAATTCCAGTATCCCCAAGAGGAGTGGGAGAGGTGCTTGACAATATGGCAAGCTAGTCAGCACACCTCTAATTCAGTTTCAGTTAGGTCAATCCCTCCTGGTGGTCTTAAGAGGGGAATGATGTTACCTCAAGCCATGAATCCCTCAAATGGCCACAGTGCTGTGCCTATAAGAAGAGCCTAGGCCTACCAATGTTGCTTCAGGCATCCATCAAATCCCAGTTTCAGCTGCCACAGAACTGCTCTCTTCGCAGTTTTCTGACTGAGATTGGTGCCCCAGTGGGCCTTGCAAAAATACAGTTGAGCTCTGGATCCAGACTGAAATGCAGCCATATCTAAGCATCCCATGGACCTTGAAGGTCAGATCTGGATTCACACCAAACCTTAGCTTCACTTATCCATTCTGGTCCACCCCAGCTGTCTGTCCATGTGCCAATAGACACTTCTATATCTTTTGAGCTGCACGAAGTAATGACTATGAAACTGACATTAATACCCTGGCTGAACACCTTCTGCCAGGCCAGTGTTTCTCAACCCGCGGGTCATGACCCAAAAGGGTCCATGCCCATGTGAGCCAGAGCCACCTCAGCCACTGTGCTCTGGCCTGAGCGGGAAGTGAGCATCTGGTCCCCTCTGGCAGGAACGGTGGGGGTGGGGAGGGGAGGTTGCAGGTTGGGTGTGAGGTACACCAGCATGGCGGGGGGCGGGGCAGGGGACTGGGGGTCAGGCACGGACAGCACCAGGGGCGTGTGGGTTGGGACAGGCTATGGATCTTTACAAATGGGTCCTGGCAGGAAAAAAGTTGAGAACCACTGTTCTAGGCAGAGGTAATGTTATTGTCACTTAGAAAAATGGCTAAAAACGTGCACTTACACATCACTGTTTGTGGTATACACACTGTAATTTAAGGATTCAATTGCCATCCATCGTACTGGAAGTCTTCCCTGGAAAGACATTTGCATTAGAGACTATTACCATAGACAATGAGTAAAGGTTGACAGTGGAGGAGGCACAACTCCACACCAACTCCACTACCTCTGCTGCTGCTGGGTGCTGGCTCTGGCTGAGCTGCATCCCCGTGCCCCATTTTAGGTGCAGAAATCATGCCGCCGCTGCCCCTGCTGCTGCCAGACTGTAGCTCTGGCTCTGGCTCAGCTGGGCTGGGCTGGAGCCCCACACCCCACTGTCATCACAGAAATCTGGGGGGGGAAGCACATGCCCCCTGTGGCTCCCCATGCATCGCCTATGGCTATTACACTAATAATAGTTGTCATTTCTGTTTCAAAATGACCAACCTGAAACCTACTCCACAGGGATTCACGTTCACAATTGTAATAGTATGTGTAAATGACTTAATTCTAAGCAAATATTTCTTTCATTAAATAATTAACAAACAATATAGAGAGTTACTTTGGTCCTCTTTATGATGAGCCCATCTGGACTGCTCTCTGTGGTTGGCACACACTTATTTAATAGGTCACTGCATTAGCTGTGGAACGATGCTACCGCTTGGTGGCAACTTTGCTTTCTTCTCGTTCCCATTTTTTGTTGCTGTTGGATTTCATTTAACATCTTAGCATTTGTGGGCTCATAATCATTAAAATAAAATTGAGGATTGTTTTATTTGTCCTTCATGTGACTTTTTACACCCAAAAACATTGAACACTTATTTAGTAGTAATGTCATACATAACAAAATTTACCCTGATTCAAATGTCTAATCTGAATTTTCCGGACACTGAATTGTCACACCTGTTGCACAGGAGAGGCCATAGGCAACATAGCACTACATAAATCACTAGAATTAGGCCATTTGAAAATTTGCCCCCAAATCTAGTTTTTATTTCATTCTGCTCACGCACCCCCACATATACCCATACACACCCTGAATATAGCTGTAATGAAAGTTTTTATTGTTAAGGATACTGACAGGCCTTGGCCAGAACCCCGCATCCAAACATCCTGAAACTTTGCATGTCTCTCCAAATTCAACACTACTTGGACTTTAAGGGAGGTTCATATCTCAACTTTGTGTCTTAAATTAATCTTTAAAAAAACCAGAGTGATGACCCCTGAGAAAGTATGACTAAGTAGACAACTTTGTTTCAATCCTTACCATTGTCTTTTTAACATAAACTTCTTGACCTCTAGACAATCCAAAATCTGCTATTTTTGCAACATAGTTTTCTCCAACCAAAATGTTTCTTGCTGCTAAATCCCGATGAATAAACTAAAAAGAACAAGCAGAAATTCCCATGTGAGCCATGACCCTTGAGTTTTGTTTTATACTATGTGCTACATTCAAAATTATTGCCACATGCGGAAATGCAGAAGAGTTGACAAAGGAAACTCTTGGCATGACAACAGAATAAGAAAATCTCTTTTAAACTTTTTGGTCTAATAAGGAAGAGGCGGAAGACAGTTGTGCTATCACCAGCAGATCTCTTACCACCTCGTAACTTACCCTCCCTGACGAAACATTTTTATGGAGCCACAACATAATTTGGCTAGCAAATGGATGTTCGTATAGGCTGAAGTAGCAACCTGTATGAGCTCATGTTACGACTGATGTCATGTAGTGTTTTTCTCTCTCTATGCAAAAGTTATTAAGATAACATTTAATGTATTAATAAAAGTTAGATTTTAGTTCAGTGGAACTGTGTGAGGCTATTCCGCATTAAACTCTGGGTTGATTATACGTTAACAATCCTTTAGTGCCATGGGTGCATAACAGTCCCTCTGGGGGTCAGAATGGGGGTGCAGACGAGGATCCCTGGAAATGCTGGGGCAGGGTGGGTGGTGGGGTTTGATACAAGCTACCTGCAGGGCTCTGTGCCTGCACTCCTCTTCCTGCCACTACCCTTGCCTCCATTCTCTGGCACTACACAAGATCTTTGCCCAGGGTGCTGAAATTTCTTGTTACACTTCTGCAAAAAGGTGATAATTCATGGCCATGAAACAACCCTGACAAGTGTGCAAAGGAGCAGTGAAGCAGTTGTAAGTAGCAATACATTATTATGTGTAGGAACCTACTGAATTCATGGTAGAAGTAGAGTGCGTGGCGGCTCATTTAATCTTGCATGTTCCCCCACGCGCATTTTTCCCCTTGCCCCCCTTCCTCGCTGCTGATTAGCAGGGGACCACTCTGCTCCCTCCTGTTCACCAGGGAGACTAAAACTGTGGTTTTAAACATGGAGCCATTTTTGCCCCCCGCCAGTCGGCAACAAACATCAGGGCTGTCCGGGGCCTCTCAGCCAATCAGTGGCAAAAGCAAAAATGTTGCCAGATTTAAAACTGCAGTTTCTGCTTCCCTGCTGATCAAGAATGAGCCACAAGCAGGGCCCCTCCACCAATCCATGGGAGAGGGACATGGGAGAAACTGCAAGATTAAAGGAGCTACAGTGCATCCCACTTCTGCCATGAACTCAATAGGTCCCTAATTATGTGGAAATATCCCTTTCATTAGATAATTTTTTTTCATTTGGAACTACAAGACAAAGCTGGGTGGGATGAAATGGCCTATAATACACATTAAGAATAAAATAAAATAAACCAAATTCTGGAGATAAATGTACATGCCAAAGGCCTTCTTGGGGAATGATCTTCAATCGTATTTTGATTTACCATGTTTTTTGAAGTGCTACATGGGTTCCCAAATTATGCAGTGACAAGACCCATCTAGATAAATAAGTGGAGGTGGACAGGTAGAAGAATAGTCAAATCAATTCACATTGTAAAAGAAAGAAATATAAATTGGAGGAACAAATAATTAATTGCAGAAATCCATCAAGTATCAATTAGTCATGGCACACATATTACTGTTACGTTACTGAATATATGTAACAAATAATAGAACAAAGCATTTCCAAATCAACTATTTATGTTTAAAAGGAAAGGAGTTCAGAACTGACCTGTTTTTGGCTTAAATAGTCCATCCCCCTGGCCACATCTGCTGCAAAATGCAGAAGCTGCTGAGAGGACAGGGTGGAGGCAGTACTGTTGGCAATAGCGAATGCTGGGTCTGTCTCCAGCACTCTGCTTTTCCTCAGAAAATCAAGTAAATTTCCATGGGGAGCATATTCAATAGCAAGGTAGAGATACCCTGTTGTAAACCAGATAGTTTTTTATTACTAAGCAAAAAAAATGGGCAGTAACAAAGTCTGTGCATTTCCATGGATGGCGCTGAGTATCAGATTTAGAAAAAGACAATGAGGTAAGGTTGATTAATGTAGTAGTTTCAGAAGAATTCTTGTGGTTCTGTGGCTCAAAAACAGCTTTTCATTAGAGACATGGTACAATTCATCAGTTCACATTGGTGAGGGCATGGCCAGATAATTAACTGGTATAAATTGATGTACCTCCCATGTAAGGTTCTCTTATGAATCCATCTCAATCGAATGACCACATTGCTTGGTTTTCAAAAAGATTCACTCTTTAAACCTCCTATACCACCAACTATTGTTTTAGATATATCAGGCTTTTTGTTTATTACAAGCATTAACTTTATTTAACCTCTGCTTGTATTTTATGTTTTAAAGAAGATTTTTTTCTTAACTGGTCTGAGGGCAATAACTTGCTTAATACTAGGAAAATGTTTGGATTGGAAAAATATCTAATTCTATAGTTTCTTGCTTTTAAAATAGTTCTAAAATGACTCTTGCTCAGAAAATAAGAGTATCTTACCCCGATGTTCACATGCTCCCAAAAGATTTATGATATTAGGATGATGACCAAGTTTACACAGAACCTCAAGTTCCCCAGCAAAGTCTCTGTGATCATCCTTTGAGGCATACTCTGGAAATCAAATAAGCATTTATTTATATAGTCCTTTGAATTGCAGTTGTAACCACATGCTTGCTACTATTAATTATGAAAAGACTTTGGAACTGTTTGGGGAATTACTGGTAAAAAGGGAAACTCCATGGTGCTCACTTGAATAATAATATCACTCTTCAGTCCAAAAACAGGAGGCACCTGTTTTTTCCATAGCTTTACCAAATAGAGAATTTACTGCAAAATTTAAATCATTGTCTTATTGTCTGGGGAGATAGCAAGCCCAGATGTGTTCTATAACACATATAAGGATTCATCAGCCTAAGAAAATGGTCACCAGAAAGACTCTAGTCATCAATCTTCATGCTGAAGCCCCCAAATACCAGTATTCCTTAAAGCATCCAATTCAAGGGCAATAAAGCAGTGAAGCAAGCAAACTCACATCAAAATCCATCCCTAGGCCAGGGAGATCAGTACACCAGTGGTATTTTTAACTTAGCACAGGTACAGACATTACTCTTTTATCAGCATAAGTGATTGGAAACTGGTCTATATTCGTAACAGAACAGAAGTTCAGCACACATAGACTGGTGTAAAGATAGCAGAACCCAATCTAGGATTTGCTCCCTTTGCCCCCACCATCCCGCTCCCAAGCGGGGGGGGGGGTCTTTTGTTTGCTATTGATAAATTATGCTGCTTACAGAAAACCAAGAAATGTATATTGATTCCGCCTCAGGCTTTTTGAATTGCCCAGGAGGCAAATATTGCCCAGGCAACAGCAGAAATGATCTAACTTTTCATTTATATGAAGTAATATGTATGTTTCAGTAGTGCCTGAAGGCTCTAGGTTCAGGATTCTCTTGCACCAGATGCTTTACAGGCATGGATAAATTTCATGCCCCTGTGTCAAAAAAGCTACAATTTTAAAGAAATTTCACATATTTATATCACCGACCTTTCATCCTTTTAATGGCAGCATCCATTCGTAAGCCATCTTTCTTAATTCGTGCTTTAAGAACCTGGCCAAAGTTGCCCTCCCCAATCACATCTTGAAATTTGATGTCATTCCATTCGAGAACTGGATAAATAGTGGGGTCCGGGCTGTTTTTGGCTTTCCTGCTCAGAGTGAGTGTCCCTGAATTAAACTGGACAGCTGGTTCTTCTCTCTGTACAAACAGAAGGCAAGTGTTATTAGCTGTGGCTTATACCACAGTAGCTGTGTCTACATGAGACACTTACTGTGCAGTAGCTCATAACTACTGCACAGTTGTCTTGTTGGGCACAAACTGTGACATGACACTACTGCTCAGTAGTAATGAGCTACTGTGCAGTAAGCATCACTAGGCAAATGTGCCAGGATGCTACTTCACAGTAATACTGGTTACTGCGAAGTCATTTAGTACTTGGTTATGCAAGTACTAAATGACTGCACAGTAACAACTGCACAGTGGGCAGCTCATGTAGATGTGAGCAATGCAGACAGAACTCATGGCCCCAACTATACAGCCCTCTCAGCATATATACATGGGTCCTTCTCTCTCATATACCAGGGGTGAGGTCTATTCTGATACAGTTCTCAGAAAAGGTGTGGCCTGCCAAATACAGAGATACTGAGGCTATAGTAGGCTAGCAGGAGATATCCCTATAGCTCATCTCCCTTCTGTATATCAGAACCAGGCTTTGTACAATCCTCATCCCTACACAGAGCTGGCAAAGGTGTGGGGCTGCCATTGGCTGCCTCCTGACCTAGTGTTCCACATATGAAAGTTGTGTAGCAGCAGTTACTGGTTCTCAAATTAAACCCATTTTGCAACACAAAATACAGCTTCCCGGAAACAGAATTGGCCCGAGAAGTTAAAACTAACCTTCCTCATGTCTAGCATTCCCTCAGCCACTGCACATATCAGAACATGTAACCTGGTGGTGGAAAGGACTTAGAAAAAGCAAGGCAGAATGGGAGATGTACTGTGCAGGTGCCTTGTTCTTGTAGTGGACCTTCTACTTCATATTCCACAACTGTTATCCCTTCCTCAGCTCTGGGTCAGTAATAGGTGAGCTTTATAAATTGCTCCTTACATAAGTATGTGGGGGGGGGAGGGTTTATTTGGAAACTCCAGGGTTGAGAAGGTGAGGCCTATTGGGAAAAGATAATAGGTGAGGCCTAAATGAATGGTAACATTGACAAAAAAAACCCACCACCACATTTTGGAAGGCTTGAGCCATTCGGTGCTGGAAGTTAGCACGCTTCAGCTGAAGCATGATAAGAAAGGCCAGGAGGATTGTTAGGCAGGTCATCCCAGCAGAGCCAAGAATAGCAATCAGCAGCATTTTCCCTCCTTTTGATTCATGTTGAGCTGTTAAAAGTGGGAAAAAATGTTATTTAGTAGCATCCAATTAATCATGACTATCCCATGATAGGTAAATATAAGCACCTCCATTTTACAGATAAAACATAAAACAAATAGAGTAGATTTCTAAAAGTGAATACTGCTTTTGGACGATTTAATATTTTGATGCTTGATGTTAACCACATGGGGTTTGATTTTCAAAAGTACTAAGAACCTCCTACTCTCACCTATTCCAAGTGGAGCTGGAGGACTTCAGAATCTTTTCAAATTAAGATGCTGGGGCCTCATCTGGATGAAACCACTGGTCTGTGGTACCCAAGAGGCCAGACTTGGTGATCACCCCTCTCTGCTTAAACCCTATATATCTATGAAATGTTGGGAACTTAATATAGTTAAAGCTTACAAAGTCAGTTGAGACATTGGCAAATTTTGTCCAATGTGATTTTTCCCAAGACACATAATGTGCCCATAGCAGAGCTGAGAATCAAATTCTGGAACATGAGTCTCTACATAAATTGTGCACATTTGTCTTAAAATCTGATAATAATTCAGAGGAAATTAGTAAATAAAAAGCTCAGGTGTTAGTAGCCCCTGCTGTGTCCTTAGCTCACTAATCTACAAAATGCCTCCGACCACCTTCACATGGCTTGGGGTGAGTTAGGAATGGTGGACTGACCAACCTTTTGCTTCTGGAAGAGTCTTCAATTGAACAGAATTGTTAGGACTACTTGATCCTACGTTGTTCTGGGCACTAAGCTCAACCTCATATACGGTGTTCGGCTCAAGGCCTTTGAGATGGTATTGAGTAATGGTGGTGTTTCTGATGGTAACATCAATGTGATTGTACTCTGCCTTGCCACAAATTTTGTAGCTGATGATGATGGAGGAGATGGACTCTCCCTCAGCAGTTGACCAAGATATTAAAACAGAGGTGTCTGTAATGTTGCAAGTCTTGATGTTGTTGGGGGCAGGAGGGAATGCTGTGTATAAAAAAAAAACAACAACCATTCCAGTTTACATCAATCCTTTTTCCTGTACCCAGATAGCCAAGACCTTTACCATTGCTCCCATTGCCTTAAACATAATAAGGATCTGGTTGACAGGATATGAAGTTTGATCAGGTTGTCTGTAAATTTGAAATTGCAGTACCACCCTCTTTCAGAAGAGGTCATTCTGCCATTTGGCATGCATCTGGCCAGGTTAGAAGAGGGAAGAGAATATGTCAGGTATTACCATATGCTTTTTGAATTAAAGTAACATATTTTACTTCCCCACTCAATCAGGATCCTTTATGGTTTCAGTAACACTTACTTACCTTAGCTAGAGGAGCTGTTTCCCTTGTCAGACCAAAGACTAACAGAAAGGGGAAATTCAGTGTCAAAACTCATGTTTTGACATTTCATGAGGAAAAGGGCTGAGCTGCTGAGTAGGGTCTAGAGCAACAGCTGGAAACATAGCTTTCTCTTGGAATAACATAATTCTAGTGATATTCTTATAAGCAGATCAGCATAGGACACTAAGAAAATATTGCCTCCAACTGTAAGCACTGTCACTCCTGTAATACATTTAAGGATCAAGTTTTGCAGCCCTCACGAGTGAACACTTACTTTTGTGATCTTTAGGGGTTAGCACAAAGCTGACAGTAGTGGCCCATAAAAGCATGGTGATTTTATGAACACCCCTGAAGTATGTCTGCTCTGACACCATAACAGGGAGCAGGTAGGAAATGGTTTTAACATTGGTTTGATCCTTCCAATCTCTTTTAAGGATTCTATCGGCAGCAGTATGACAGACTCAGCTAGATTTTGCTTTCAGGATAGTGCAAAGACAGTGCATTGATTTTCAGAGATGCTGAGTAACAGAAAAGCCTCTTGCTACGAGAAGTACTGTAAGTGCTCATCACTTTTGGGAAACAGGCCATGAAGGTGGGATTTTCAAAAGTACCTGCATGATTTAGAAGAACAAGCCCCACTAGAAGGCAGTGAGACCTATATTCTCAAGTCACTGCAAATTTTTTGGATACCCTTTCCTTGGTCTATGCAAATTCCTAGGATAAAAAATAGCTATTCATCTTAACAATGACACAAATGTACCATAAGAGCTTTCCTATTAGTGCAGAGGATTATATTTTTATGGAGACCTCTGATGACATCAAAATTCTACTAGAGAAAAGATAAAGGACTAAAAAGAAAGAAGTGAATCCAGATACTTACTGTCACTGTAGGTCCATGCATACAGATAGTCACTCCACTCTCCAGGGGACCTGGTATTCACACGCACCCGGCACATGTACTGCTGTCGGGGTTTTAATTTATCAATGATCACGGAAGATATATTTCCTTGAACTTTGGTGACAATATGGTCACTGTCGTCATTCACATTCCTCCCTTCCACTTCAATTGAAATGTCATCTTCTGGTTTCTGTGTTATTGGGTTCCATGACAAATTCAGAGATGTCCTGCTCTTAGGAAGGAGGGAGAGACCTTCTGGTGGGGGCAGACCTTGAAAAATCCAGATAAAGAGAGCTTTATTTTATGTCCTCTGCATATTTGCCTACAAATAAATGCTAGTATGAAACTAATAATTTGGGTCTGATCACTAAGCCTGTGCAAATAGGGAACTATTTGATTCGGGTTCAGATTTGACTGATTTGGATGCCAGCTATTCGATTCGGAGCTCTGAATTGGTTTCCCGCTTCAATTCGGAGATTCGGCCATAGGGTATAATGGGGAATCAATTAAATATCTATAACTGTTGTTTTTTTGTCTAATTTGGATGAAACTTGCAGAGATGGTAGCCTCTGCTCAGAGCGTGAAGCCTGCCAAGTTTCAATGAGATAGCTGCAGGGGTTTGGGGGAAACGGCACCCCAAATTTATGAAAGCAAAGCTCATGTCACGTGTATGTGTTAAGCCACAGTGGGGTCAAAACTGCAGGGATGGTAACCCCCACAGAGGCCACAAAGCCTGCCAAGTTTCAAGGAGATAGATGCAGGGGTTTGCGGGAAACTGAACCTCAAGCTGCTGACAGGCAAAACTCATGACATAGATGACCCTGTGTGAGATAAGGTGCAGCGGGGTGAAAACTGGAGGGGTGGTGGCCCCTGCAGAGGCCACAAAGCCTGCCAAGTTTCAAGGAGATAGATGCAGGGGTTTGCGGGAAACTGAACCTCAAGCTGCTGACAGGCAAAACTCATGACATAGATGACCCTGTGTGAGATAAGGTGCAGCGGGGTGAAAACTGGAGGGGTGGTGGCCCCTGCAGAGGCCACAAAGCCTGCCAAGTTTCAAGAAGATAGGTGTAGGGGCTTGGGGGAAACTGTACCTCAAGCTGCAGACAAGCAAAACTCATGACATGGGTGACACTGTGTGTGTTAAGGCGCAGCAGCGTGAAAGCTGCAGGCCTGTTAGCCCCTGCTGAGGCCACAAAGCCTGCCAGATATCAAGGAGATAGGTGCTGGGGTTCTGGGTTCCTGCACCTCTGACTGCTGACAGGCAAAACTTGTGTCATGGGTGCTTGTGCAACTGTGTCTGTCTTGGGGCATGGGGGAAGGGAAACTACTGCAGGCCTGGCTGCTAGGCCCTTCTGTGGCCACAAAGTCTGCCAGCTGTCAAGGAGATAGGTGCAGGGGGGTTCTGGGGCCCTGCACCCCTAGCTGCTGACAGGCAAAACTCGTGACATGGGTGCTTGTGCAACTGATTGTCTCCGTCTTGGAGCAGAAGCAGTTTGTCTCTGTATTGATTATTTCCTCTCCTTAGTCTGTGGTTTTATAGGTGTTAATCCTTGCTCATTAACTCGTTATCTAGTAGCTAGCTACTTTGTATTGAGGTGGTCCCTGAGTCAATCATGATTGATTGGTAACACAGTAGCTTAGCAGACAGGCCTGTGGTAGCTTTGACCTCCCCCAACCCCCAAGACAGACACAGTTGCACAAACACACATGTCACGAGTTTTGCCTGTCAGCAGGTAGGGGTGCAGGGCCCCAGAACCCAGAACCCCTGCACCTATCTCTTTGACAGCTGGTAGGCTTTGTGGCCTCAGCAGCGGCTAGCAGGCCTGCAGTTTTCACCCTGCTGTGCCTTAACACACACAGGATCATCTATGTCACGAGTTTTGCCTGTTAGCAGCCAGAGGGGCACCCTGCACCTATCTCCTTGAAACTTGGCAGGCTTTGTGGCCTTGGCAGGGGCTACCATCACTGCAGCTTTCACCCCACTGTGGTTTAACACACACGTGTAACATGAGTTTTGCTTTCAAGAATTTGGGGTGCAGTTTCCCCCAAACTCCCGCACCTATCTCCTTAAAACATGGCAGGCTTTGTGGCCTCAGCAAGAGGCACCATCCCTGCAGTTTGTACCCCAAGGTTCTGAAAGCAAAACTCATGTCACGTGTGTGTGTTAAGCCACAATGAGGTGAAGTTTCCCAGAAACCCCTGCACCTATCACCTTGAAACTTGGCATGCATCCTGCTCTCAGCAGAAGCTACCATCCCTGCATGTTTCAGCTGAATCAGCCAATAGACAACAAAGTTATAGATATTTCATTGATTCCCCATTATACCCTATGGCCGAATCTTTTCCAAATCGATTCGGAAGCTCCAAATCGATTTGGACGGCCTAAAGCTTCCTGGGATTCAATTCAGATTCATAGATTCGGCCTCCAAATCATCTGAATCATCTCCAAATCTGAATCATGATCTGAAGCTTTGCACAGCCCTACTGATCACTCATATAATAGTTTACACTTCCAAGCAAGGCCTGAGTCTATCCATAATTCTAGTTATCCAGTCACAGCAAAGGCGAGGACTGCTATTGCAGTACCATGTTCAGACCAAGTGGTGAGAACAGCAGGAGACTGACTGGTGACCCAAGGACTTTTTTTGGATGCCTCAAAATCAAAAGGAAATCACATAGGCTGTGTGTAGATGAAATGAGAGGCGTGTGTGCACTACACTTTAAAGCGGGCTAAATGCTTTTGCACTGCTTTAATGGTGTCAGTGTTTGAATGCCTCAGCAGTGTTTTGTGCATTAATTCCAGCCACTGTAGGAAATTTGGTGGGGGAATGCGCCTTAAATGACTTGAGGCGTGGCCAGTGGCAATGCATAGGGGGTACACCCTGACAGCACTGGTGCTCCCTGTGACTGGCTGCGCTCACTGCTTAGGTAGTGGGCGGGGGGGGGAGGCAGGAGTGTCAGTATGTCCCCTGCAACTACTGGCTGATGACTGCAGTCACTCCCAGAAGCGGCTGCAGCGATCAGCAACAGCGATCGACTGTCACAAGATCGGGCAGCGAGATCAGCTGCAGGGTCCCCCCCCCAGCCCTGCTTGGTGGGACTGGTCATGGGGTGGGGGTTAGGGTGCCATGGGCACAGCAAACTAAAACTCTTTTGAGGAGTTTTAGTTTGCTGTCCCTACAGCCCTGGGCTCCATGCAGCTCCATGGCTCTGCAGGAAGCCCTGCAGACAGCCTGACAGCAGCCCAGGAAAACATCTCTGCCCAAGAAAAGCAACAAGCCTGATCTTTTTTTACCCCCGCTCTGGAGCCTGCCTGCCTGCCTGCCTGCCTGAGCTGCGCATGGGCCTGGTGGTTCCCTCCACAGCTGCAGTGCCCCCCAGGACCGCCTGAGCTGGGTGCCTGCAGGTGGGTGCTGCCTGGGAGGCGGGGGCCACAGCTGCTGTGGAGGGAAGCACCCCCCACTCCCTCCCTGCAGCCCAGGAACTGCTATGCCCCCTAGCAGCTTGCCCTCCCCTCCCTACTGAGAGGCAGGTAAGACAGTGGGGTGTGTGCACAACATGGGGGTTTAATCAGCCCTAAATTGAAGCGGTGTTTTTTAAAACCCACCACTTTCATCTAGGGCCCCTGTTTCATCTACACATGCCCATAGGCAATAGAAGGAAGGACAAGGAGGTCAAGGAGAAAGGGATTTGGTGGTAGGGGTCTGCTACAGACCCCCATACCAAGGGGAAGAACTAGATTCGGGGCTCCTGAGGCAGCTCTCAGAGACCATAAAAACTAGGGAGGCGGTAGTCATGGGGCACCTAAACTACCCAGACGTCTGCTGGGAGACGCAGACAGCAAAGTCCCACAGTTCACGTAGGTTTCTATCCTGTGTACAGGACCTCCATCTGACACAGGAGGTACATGGTCCCACTAGGTGGAATGCCTTACTGGACCTGGTATTGGCAACGGGGGATGACATGGTAGGAGACCTACAGATCGGTGGTCACCTGGGGGACAGTGATCACCAAATAATAGAATTCACATAAGACGTCGAGTGGGTAAGGTAACTAGTAGGGTGAAAGTGCTAGACTTTAGGAAAGCTGACTTCAATGAACTCAGGCGTTTAGTCAAAGACGCACTGCAGAGTAAGAGTTTTGTAGAGTTGGGAGCCCAGGAAGGGTGGCTGTGCCTTAAGGAAATGATCCTTCGGGCACAGAGGGAGACAATCCCGATGCGGGGAAAAACGGGGAAGGGGGCCAAGAGGCTTCCTTGGCTGACCAGAGAAATCCAGAGCAGCCTACGGGCTAAAAGGGGGGCATATAAAAAGTGGAAACGGGGAGAGATTACTAAAGAGGAGTATACCTCCTCTGCTCGCGCTTGTAGGGAGGCAGTTAGGCAGGCCAAAGCTACCATGGAGCTGAGGATGGCATCCCAAGTAAAGGATAACAAAAAATTGTTTTTTAGATATATAGGGAGTAAAAGGAAGGCCCAGGGTGGAATAGGACCTCTACTAAATGGGCATAAGCAATTGGTGACAGACAGGGGGGACAAGGCTGAACTCCTCAACGAGTTCTTTGCCTCAGTGTTCCTAAGTGAGGGGCAAGACAAGTCTCTCACTGGGATTGTAGAGAGGCAGCAGCAAGGTGCCAGACTACCAAGCATAGACCCTGAGATGGTGCAGAGGCACTTGGAGGAACTGGATGCGTTTAAGTCGGCAGGCCCGGATGAGCTCCATCCGA